GGAATTCATTAAGGAATTGATACTTAATTTCTTAAATTACCCAGGTTTTGAAGTTCACTTTAGGAGTTCACAATTATATTGTGATAATCATAATCAAGGATTAGATGGAGGAAGGTTTTGGGAACTGCAGAGATTGACTACCCCAATGATCTTGAACATTGGTCATAGAGAGCCCCAATACAGCAGGTTTTGTACCATTAAACATTGTTAGCTTACTGTGAAACCCCAGTTTTTAAAGATGTGAAACAATTTCATTCTGGTCAATTGAACATGTGATTTGTTAAATTAAGAAATTTAGAAATTATTTGGGATTCATTTTTAAATACTTTTCCACCTTCTAGGACTAGAGGTCTCTTAATTGAACAGATCACATGCTGGATTTAGCAATAGTTGGTGTGGCCAAGATTTAACAGCAGGTGACCTAAAAGACTAACGGGGATCAGGGTTGGAGACTACAGGTCAGCTCTGTTTCAGACACCGCAAGATCTGCTACCCAAAGAACCCAAGGACCCCTTTTTACTCCCTACTTTTCATTTGTCACATAATCCCTTTTTTGCCTTAATTTTGTTAGTACTCAAATTTAATGTAAAAAAATGGTCCAGAGTTACTGAACTGATGGAGACGTCAGAACTCGGACTCAGGGGTGTCAAACTTAGTTCTAGGAGAACATAGTCTTTTGTTTCTCTCCCCTTGGTTAGACAGTTGTCCTAAACATTTCATTAACTGCAGAATTATTATACTTCTCCCGAGGTTCCAAGATCATTTTTAGGTTACCTGTACCTTTAATGATGTTAACATTTTCATTAAAATATAAGAAAGTAATTAGCTTAATTGTTAATAACAGAGGTTGGAACAAACCCCAGAAAACCCCAGATCCTCAGGGCACTGCATTTGGGTCCCTTGAATTTCGGGGGACCAGTCTGGTTCTTCACCAGAGAGGATGCTCATGTATAATTTGTTTGGATACAATGCACCATAGGACGTGCTTGGCGTCTACACTTCGTGCCAAAATCATTCCACTGTGTTGCTAGTTTACGGTTTCTAAGTAGTGTCCGTTGTTTACTAAGATACACGATCATTATCCTCTGTGCTTTAATAAATAGTAAATTTGAGCTTTTCTATTTATGAACAAAAAAAATATTTTGGAAGAGATAGAAGAATATTTAAGAATCCATTAAAATACTATGATTAATTAGAGTTCTCCTGGAGTATGTCTAGAATAAAAAAAAGATTTGTTCAGGGGATTATTCTAGACATACTCCAGGGGAAGTTACATATTTAAGAAAACAAGCCTCCTCACCTGGTGTCTTCCCGTTTTCGTTTTTTTCCCCATTCTTTGTGCTCATTGTTTAAATGTTGCCAAAGAAGGAGAATTTTGGACCTGTACCAATTAAGGAGAACAACTCAACGTTCTTTTTAAAGCACATTTTAAATAGATGTATGCTAAGTAAAGAGGAGCAGGAGGATACAGGGCAGTTCAGTAGAAGTTTGAGCAAAAGGTTGTGGGTCCTTCTCAGTAATGTGTGGTGCACCTGCTTAGAAGGATGTCCTCTGGACCGTACATGACATCTCCATTCTAGAATAATAATTTGTGCATGTTTACCTTTGAGCTCTGCATGAAGCTTTCACAAAGCTGCCAAGTGTACAGCGAAATGTAGTCCATACAATAAAACAAGAAGCATTTGTAACATCCATGTTGGTCTGTGTGTGTGTATTGAAGAACTGGCACTTTAGGAGTATGAACCATCAATTCTGTAGTCAGCTTTAAAGATGGCTGCTGCTGAAAGGCCATTGTTTGAAGACCCGAAGATTATGCAGTGTGATGAAAAAGAAACAAGCAGACTGGTGACACCTGGCCTTCTTCATATGGCTTTAGAACGGCTGGCTGTAAGAAGCTAAATGTAATCTGAAAATGAATGTTTTCATTGCGTTGAGACCTAAGATTTCCACTGGATTTGGGAACAGGTGTCTATTCCTAAAACAACTTAAGATGTAGTAGCATCATACTACACACAGACGCTATATCCAGTTTGGCAACGTCTATTTTGTAAGGGCCAGGTGTTGCCCAAAGCAGCAGCGTGCTAGATCAAAGCAGGTTAAGCCTGCTGGTACTCACCATGCAAAAGACTGACTTGCCTTGGGGCTCATGAAAGACAGGAGAACAGCTACGCTTTGCAACCTCCTGCACCCTGTGGGATGTCAGCTGCTTACAATGTGCTTTTGCCTCAATAGGGAGATTAGCACAATGATGTGAGGAATTACCTACATCAATACCACCGCCATGTTCTAAGAGTTCCTGTTTTTTCATGTAGACCCCAAAGTTTTTATCCAGCTCATGTCCTCATACACTGTTTCCCCCTCCTGGTGGATTTCTGATTCAGGGAACACAGAGGTGCTTCACCAGCTTCACATACCTGCCAGGGGTGTTGCTCTGCTCTTATGCACTCAGGTGTGTGCATGCACTTTCATCAGTACGCAAGCAGTGCCGGGAAAGAGCCAGGATGAGTTCTAGCATGCAACAGTGTCTGAAAGGATCGCTTCATACTGTGGGTAAGCAGCGGAGGAGGAAATTCAAGAGCAAATTAACAGGCCCAACATCTAAACCTTTCCACAAGGAAAGGCAACGTTATTGTTTTTCTGTAGATAGACAGAACTATACACTGAGACAGATATTAACATAGAATTTTAGGAAATTTGTATCAAAAAGAAAAGCTGCTGTGTCACAATAGTTAATGCTTTAATGGAACAATAACTGATTTAATTTGGCCTGTTGTATATATAAGGGGTTTGGCCAATGGAACATTTCATTACCCACAGAAAAACCAAAGTGCATTTGGCACATAAAAGGCATGGTATCCAATTACGTTCAGGCAATCGTAATAGTTTTTCCCTGAGAGTCAGGCTTTAGAAAGGGCCCTGATGAAAGATGTGTATCAGTCTCCACACATCCTGGCCTACCCCTGTAGAGACTGTCTCCAAAGGTTCCCAGCTTGTGCCAAATGAAGACTTCACCCATGTTTTAATGATTCCTGCTGACAGTAGTTTTATTTAGAACGGAAGATAGCAATTTTTTAAAGAAAAGTCACAAATGAGACGGCAGTAAAGCATTATTTCAATATTCAGACCTTGAAACTAAAGACGTAAGGATGTCCATTTTGTTGGAGTGACGATGGAGCGATGGCCAGCATGCACTTAGGTGGTCCCATGTGTATTTGTCACTTGAACAATCATCCCTGGACACCATTAGTGAAGGGAAGAAAAAAAGTTTGTGACTGGCAGTAGCCTAATATGGCATGGAATGTGAAGGGTGGTGGAATATGCATTTTTCAAAATTCCTAAATCCTAAATGAGTCCTACATGCCTTCCCGTGTTGTTTTTGATTTCTCTGCATATTTTCGTATCCTTTTTTACAAAAAGAGCAGGCAGCGCAGTGGCTCTGTGGCTAAGGATCTGCGCCTGTGACTGGAAGGTTGCCGGTTCAAATCCCACAGCCGGCAGAGGAATCCTACTCCGTTGGGCCCCTGAGTAAGGCCCTTAACCCCAACTGCTCCAGGGGAGCCGTACAATGGCAGACCCTGCGCTCTGACCCCAAGCTTCTCTCCCTGTCTGTCTCTCCATGGAGAAAAGCTGGGGTATGCGAAAAGACAAATTCCTAATGCAAGAAATTGTATAGGGCTAATAAAGAAACATTATCATTATCCTTTCCTGAAAAGGAAAAATAACTACGAAAAATGTTCTTAAAAGTTTAGTGATCTGAGGATCTCATCCAGGTGTTTCTCGAGCGAAGCCAGGGTATGGGCTATGCCAGCATGGCTGGATAGCTATTTTCTGATTCCAGCAAACCTTAAAATCTTATGCAGGCATACTGCAAGCACTCTACACCCATGCCCCTCAAATTCGCACACTCAAATCCAGATTTATGATGTCCCACAATTAATGCTTTTCAGAATAAAGGTGGCTCTGAACCTGTCTACAGACATAAAACATCAAAAACTCAGCCACCCATCTGTGTACACCTGACACCTTTATTGTCTTTATTACTATTTGTATCTGCCGTGCTCAAAATATCATCCGAGAAGTCTAGCTTTCCATACTGGTTATTAAAAGGTGCCGTCACGAAGGATTATAGTGTCTTCATCACAGACCAGACATTGTCTATACAGAAGCCTCATCATTGAAGCACCTTTCTTTGCTACAGCTCAAATGAGACCAAGTGCTGAATGAAGAGTATTAACACGTTTTGTCTGTGAAGTCAATTCTCTCTCAAGCCTACCTCACACGAAACACATGCTGCCAGCTGCTAGGATTCTCTCCATGATAAACACTGGCATCTGTGTCCAATTCTAAGGCAACAAGAATATAGCTGAGGATTACGTAGACCTGCTTGAAACAAATCTAAGATTTAGTTTTGACTATGGTGTATGTCAAAACAAATGAAAACAAAACAGATTTCAAGGTTCTAGGAAGAGCAAAATGTTTTGGCACTGTCAGAATTAAGTGAAAAAATATTAGTCAATGCCACACATTGAGTGTTAATTCTAACCTTCACAGACATGCTTCTTGTATTGATCTTCTGTATGTGGTCAAAAAGACTTATTTTTTTGGGATCCAGAGGTTTTCAATGTGACTTTGTTTAAATCAGCTAAAGCGATTGAAACCCTAGACACCGCTCCTTTTCAGTTTTTCTGAATTCAGCTGAAATCCAAGCTCAGTATTAACTCTAGCTGGCTCCACCAGTACACGAGCAGCCTCTCTTTGTACAGTTGGTTTCTTAATTCAGTTTCAATTTTAAGCAAAACCAGGCCTTCTGAATGGTACCAGTTGCTGGTGCCATCAATAGTCCCAACAGAAACCCCCAGAATATTTACATTTCCAATAATTCAGGTTGGTTTAAAGCCAGTGGAAAATGAGTGATGCCAAAATCCACCTTAAAAAAATCGCCAGGTCAAATTAATTTCTGAAAGTGACTTTTTACAAACAGTAAAGTTTTCAGTAGGTAATGCATGTATAAGTAGTACGTTTATTGGGTCAAGTAAGATATCACAATATCTCTTTCCCATAAAAAAGACAAAATTTAGTTTCTTTTAAACTAAAATGCTCTCAAAATATAAAAAGTAGGCAACAACATAACAAAAACAAACACTTTCTAAACCAGCTGCTAAAAGAAAAACCATGTAAAAAAAAAAGGTTTTATTACAAAACATGAAAATAAATCTCTCCCTCATTCATAAGCAAACTGGCAATTTCTCACTCACTGCTAAGCAATAAACCTATAGTTACAGCAGCTTAAAAAAGACTTTCAGTACTTCCTAATGCTAGTCCTAATGCATATGGCACAGGACAGTCTAGGGCTGTGGTTCTCAACCATAGTTCAATTCAAGCTCTTATCTAGGCGAACCCATAACTGAAACACTTACTTGATTACTTTTGTAATGATCACATCTTAAAAGGTTATAAATCACCATTAGTATTGATAAACACTGGCTTGGGTTTCACACCTCCCCTCATTCAGATGCCCAAAATTTAAATGGAACCACGCAGAACAACACCTGCCTACCACAGGAGTCTATAACACACATGCTGTTCTCATCTGCGCACATTAATTGGTCATCTATAGAGGATAACATGGAGGGGCAGGGATTTAGGAAACAAGTTAAAACGTTTTCTCTTTGAATCAAAAAAAAAAAAAGCGAAGCCAAGAAGATTTGACCAAGTACGACTGGAGATTCCAAACTGGGTCAGCATAAAAAGCAGAAACAAAGGATGATGCCCAATTCAAAAACAGAGAGAAAAATACTAATCAAGCAAACAGTTCAATTAAAACATTGGTCTGGGTTCAGCAATGAAGGTTGAGGTGTAATGGAAATCAAGACCCAGAAATACGCCAGGACTAAGGTTGAGAACCAGTGGTCTTAAGAAGTCCTCTTTACATTCTACAGTAGCTGACATGCAATCTGAGTAAAGAAACAGGCTGTCAGCGGTGCACAAAGGCACAATATTTACTGCCTTAACAGATGTCTCTTCCCAGAAGGGCAGGGGATAGCAACTGACCTTTTGAGGCAAACATTTCCTTTACCATGTTCAGGGCTGCCTAAGAAACCCAAGACCAGGACTTCCTTTCTTCTTAATTCAGCCATTCTAATCTCATCTACACCTGGCCTCAGGTAAATCAGTTCTGGGCATTGCTTTCAGAGATTATGCATATGTTTTTCTCTTAAAAAAAGAGATAACCACATCTATAACGCTACAAAGAAAAAAAAACATGTACAAGGGGCGATTTCCAAAAAGGACATATTCCTCAAAGCAGTTACTGTGCCTTGGGGAAAAGTGTTCTGCCAAAGGCAAAGAAGAAGAAAGGTAACATAAATTATTGAGCTCTAAGAAAGGTATGACGTGAAGACTCAAGTCTTGAAGCATGGAGGTCCAGTTGTTACAATACCAGAAATACACGCGCCAAGGCCAGGCACACTGAAGTGAGTTCACTGCTGGAGTAGGGCACCCCTCCCGGGCGCCTATATGCTGGGAGAGGGCTGGGGGTTGACTGTGGGGGTGGCCTGCCGGGGCAAGGTGTACATAGCCCCCAGGAACTGGTCAGCAATGCGCCCCGCTTCTCTCAGCCCGCTCAGGAGCGCCCCGTGGACGGTCGCTGGGTAGTTACGAATAGTGTGTTCACCGGCAAAGAAAAGTCGGGGGATAGGCTGATGGAGAAAAGGGTGGAGGGGAAAAGAAACAGAGAAAAAACAAGTTAATACAGAAACTCAGACCTTTGAACTTTGAACTTTGAAAATTGACCTTTTTCAATTTTAATAATAATAATAATAATAACAATAATAATTGCTTACACTTAAATAGCGTTTTTCTGGACACTCCACTCAAAGCGCTTTACAGGTAATTACAGGTAATTTCAAATTTTGGTTTGAAACTATTTTTAAATAGTTTATTAAACTCAAAATAAATTATACGACAGGTTCCACAGCTATCAAGCGTTGCCCCCCCCCGCTACCCTGATGTAAGGAAATATGTAAAACTCAAGCAAAATATTACCCATTTTCACTGAAAGCAGGAGGAAATTCTCTCTAATAATCGGGGTCCAGTCTACGCAGTGATTTTCATCGTGACTCGTCTACAGCTGCAGTCTACATGCATACAGCAGTCAGGGATTCTCACCTGAGAGGCCCCAGGAATGGCAGGCCCCGGGGTGATCGGCTGGGCCATCAGGTCGTAGTCGTTCCCAGAAGACCCCGCCGCCACGTAGGAGTACGAGCCCCGAGCCCACGGGTCCGCCCTCCAGCGGGTCACCACGGTTTCCTTCGGCTGCAACAACAGCACCCACACTTACAGTGCCGACTGCACGTCCAGGCATTTCAAGATCAACTGTTTCCAGTTCTAGAGCACACACAACCCGCGGCTTAAACAGCTCACACACGTATCAGAGCACTGGTGCTCTTCCTGTCCTACAATGGATTTCACGGACATACTGACATGGTGTGTAGACAATTTTCACATAAATTCAATGTTGAGTGAGGACCTGCAGCACCTAAAGGCTCCTTTCTATTTCTCAGCATGGAATTACACTTTACTTGTCACCATAGTCATTGGACAAACGTACATACAAATGTACTGGCGGAGAACCTTGGCTATATAAGCTACACCCAAACTGCCCAGATGGATCAAACGGTGTGGAACCTTTCTTGTGCTCCTGCTTTTTCTAAGCTGCCCGAACTCTCATGCACCCTGGAAACTGGCAGTTCAGATTTCTCGAGATGTTAAGAGACGGGGTATGTATACTTCTTCCTCTAGAGTTTACACAGCGAGGGGCACTGTAGTTCGCCAGCGCAGTGCTGCGGCAGCCCAGCCTCCAGACATACCTGTGGTACGGCGCTGCTGCCAAAGATTCCTTTCAGGATTGCGAGGCAGCGGCCCACAATGACGTCATCGCTGATGTTCTCCATGATGCCGGCTGCCTCTCCGGCCATGAGCGCCAGCAGGATGGGAGCTGAGGAACACCACAGGGCGGACACGTTGAGAAGCAGCAGGGGGGGGGGGGGGGCGGCAACCTTCATTCAAGGGTCCGTTCGCATAGCGTTAACAGAGGTTGGCCAACGGCGGTCGGCTGGACTCACCCTTGTACAGGTTCCAGAACAGAAAGAGCTCTCCCCGGCTGGCGGTGGTGCTGCCCACGTGGCCAAACAGATTCACGCTGGGGTCCCAGAACACACGGTCGAAACACAGCACCACCTGCAACAGGTGAGCAGGCAGGCAAGGCAGTTAAGACACCTCCCTGGGGTAACGGAGTTTGAGACAACAGGAAGATCCATCCCTCCACTGTCTAACTGCATCTTCCATTTCAGGGTCATGGGGCAGCCTGGAGCCTAACGCAGCAAGTGAAGGGTGCAAGGCAGGGAGACCTAAAAATGTTCACTTTTCCAAGGTCTGAGAATGCAATACTGGCAGGTTTTTCCCTCCAGTGATTATTAATAAGAAATTCAACAGCACAAAAAAATCAAAAGATGGATAGAGTACTGGCAATGACAACACAAACAAGTTCATATGGAAAAAGTTATTTTTGTATTTCAAAGCATACTGACACAACTTCGGATTTAAAAATCATTTAATATCCTTTAGATATTCTTTCCAGTCGGACAATAAAAAGCACAATATTTTATCATTATAATATCTGAAAAAAGATGCAGAAAACAGCCTCACTTTTAAATTCCCACTGATGTTATAGAGGAAAAAAAATGTTTAGCTCCCTCTGCTGGTCATTGCACTGAAAAACGCATTGTGTTGCATAATACTGCAGTACTTTTTTGCTGCAGATTAGTTAGGGAAAAAAGTCTGCAGCAAAAAAAAGGCAAAGACCCGTTCTGCTGCAGTTTTTGTCCAGTCTTCCGAGCCAATTCACAGTCAATGTGAAGTTATGCTATAAAAAGATTCCAACCTAGGGAATCTGACAACTGTATTTGCAGTACGCACAACTGACTTGAAAACAAATTACAATTTTACCACCACTAACAAATGCTACCACATTGATTTGATTATTGCTCTGCAGTCTGATTTCGAACATAAAGGCAGAGACCAGTTTATTGATGCCATCACTTACAGATACACACAGACAAAGCACTGCATCTCACGCCATACCTGTCATAGAGTTCTCTATATGCCGGTCTACCTACCCTGATGCAACACCTCTGTGATTGAAAACATCCCACCACTCTACCATGTGATCCTCTCTCATATGAATCATCGCACAATCCATCAAGCACATAATCCATATCCATAAACTACGATACAGTTAATAATATTAAATGACAACATACGACAGCTTGCGTGGAATGAGCAACACCGGTCTCCTACCTTGTTGAGGTTCCCGAAGCCCATCCTCTGGATGGCGGAGGTTTTCCACTCAGGAAGTGGGGGCACAAACTGCACGGCCGGGGGCTGCTGCTTCATCACGCCCAGGGGCAGGGTGCAGAGCACAGCGTCGCATTTGTAAATGAAGGTCTGAGTGGTGGAGCGGGTGTTCACCGCGATCACTTCACAGCCTGGGCGACACAAAGACGGAGAGGCCTCTTTACCAGCTGTGACTCCAGGACACCCCACTCCAAAAGGGAGAGGAGCATTTGAGCATTGAAGTAAATGAATGTCAGTATTTACTGAACCTTTAAAAACCAAAAAAATGAGGCCCTCTAACACAATTCTGCACGTTAATCTTGACATCTGTGAGAATTAACTAATTCATCATAAAACTCAGCTCCTTCCATCATTTTAATGTTTCTCCTTAAAGGTATTTTATATTATATTATTAATACTGGATCAGTAGGGTTTTTTATCAGTTCTACCTTTCCCTGTTATCTGAAATCAGTAAAAAAGTATAATTATAAAAATAAAAAATAAAAAACTTCAAAATACGTCTGACATGCAGGTGGGGCAATTAGATTAATGTAATTAGACCATCAGCACAGCTTCGAGAATTCTGTTCTGCCTCAATCTGTTGACAAAATAATCAGTGGAAATGTAAAAAATGTTAATGAGGCATAAAACTTTAACAATTACAAACAGTGCATCAATTCTGAAAAGGATATTAATTAGTGCAGCACCCTTAGCTGAGTTTAATTGGCTCTGGTGCAAATAAACCAATCTTCCAGACTTTCAACATCTCAAAACGATCAAACTAACATTAATTATAAAAGGACTCCATTATTACCGACACTTGCACTGTAAGTATACTCACACTTTCCATGAGAGAATTAGCAGCAGGCAGTTTACATTCCTTCCCCCAAACATTTTATTAGGCCTGTAAATATTCTAATTACTGTAAAATACAGTTTGACACCACTGTATTTCAACCACAGAAATTATGACATAGAAAAAAATACTGGACAGCTATTTAACATCTGTTGCCATAGGACAAACTGATAATACAAAACTACCCCTAGATTGGACTCTGGTCAATCACAGATTAACTCCCATTAAAATCACGCCAGAGCAATCAGGGTGAAGCTCACAAGAACCAGAGTTTTAATATATATAATATATATAAATATAGGAAGAAAAGAAAAGGAAAAAAGGAAACCAGAGGTGAAAGGACAGAAGAGAGAAGCCACGGTCTTCAAGGTCTTTCAAACATCTGGGTCAAACTGCAAGCTCTTAAAGAAATTTAAAAAAAGCTGCCAGGTGAAATAAAACCTAATTTTTTCCCGAGTTGGAGAAAGTGCATCACATCCCTTACCCAACAAATTCAACCATTAAAAGCACTTTTTCTGGCTCCACCAGTTCTTCGAGCCCCTCACCTGAAGAGGTGTATCGAACTTGCCGCACTGCAGTGTTCAGCTTGATGTCCAGGCCTTCTGCCAGAGCGACAGGAACGCAGGAGTAGCCATTGCGCACTGTCAGGTGGCTGCCCGTGAACTCAAAGTCATCATCCTAAGGGACAGAGACACAGTGGAGCAGAACACAAAGCTGAAACAAACACACCTCTGAAGCATTAAGATCTACGTAAAGTTTTTGCCCTCAGTCTTCACTAGCACGTGCAGCACAATCTGACCCTTGACTGATGTTTTCTCGTGTTTCTTGCTATTCGGAATAGCCCATCTTGGATTACTACGACATCTTACCTGGTCCCAGTGCTTCAGAGAGAGAGTTGAAAGTGGTGTGGCATTAGCAAACTCTAGATTAGCAAAATGCCAGTCCAGGATCTGTCGGTCCCTTGATGAAAGGTACACGTCGCTATTCAAAATCAAGACAAGAAAAACAACATTTCCATCGCATTTTTTATTTTTTTTAAATCACATCACACAACTACTTGTGTTGTCACTTCAGGAGAAGCAGGCATTAGGAAAAAACCTTTCTTTTGACTTGTAACTGTAGTCTAAATATAATTTAGTTCAAGTAGGTAGCTGCAGCAGCATGCACAGGCTGCAAAGGAACAGGTAAAGGTTTTTCCCTGCTGAAAGGAAAAGAGACACAAGGTTGAGGCCGTGGGGCCTTCTTCAGGTTGGAGGAAAAGGGGAAACTGCAGGGGGAAACCACACCGGAAAAAGACTTTACAGCCGAAACACTGCATCTCTTTTCTTTTCCTTTCAGCAGGGAAATAAACCTTTCCATGTTGCTAAATTTAATATAGATATATTAGCTTTGAAGCACTGCAATCATCAGAGAGCCAAGGTCAAAGTCATAACCTCTGTAACTTTGATCAATAAAGGGACAAAAGAAGACAGATTCTGGACCCCTTGCGTTGCAGTTTTCATCAAAGACAACGTTTTTGAAAGAGCAAGCGAACCCGGAAGCGCAGGCGAGGCCCTGGGGGTACCTGGGGGGGTTCGCCTCCAGCTCCTGCAGCTTCTCTTCCAGCTTGACCTGCGTCTCCGCCAGCTCGTCATACTCCTGCAAAAGCAACCACACAGCGACGTGGCGTTAGGCCGGTATCACGGGCAGCGCAGATGCCACGCATCCCACCCACTGGGCCTTCCCTCTGATCTGCCCTAGGCCAACACTGCAGCTGCAATCCAGGTTCGTACCCCAAATTATAATTAAAGGGCGTGATGGGATGGGATGTGTGTGGGGCAGCCACAGGTGCTGACCTTGCGCATGGGACAACAGATCAGGGATTTGTGGGTGGGGGGAGGTGGGGGGCAGTAATGGAACTAGCAGCTTGGTCCCCAAAGGGCTGAATAATCCCTTTTGGATTCCTCAAAAAAAAAAAAACCCTCCCGACTGTGTGATTTTACCTGCCGGAGAGATGTTTTCTTAAAACGATGAGCTAGCTTGTTTAGAAATGCCAGAGACACCACAAATATTCCCTGTGCCCTCTCCCCTTTCTGTCTGCCCCAAGGGAGGTCTATTTCCACAAGACAGCCGGCAAGATTCCTTGAAGTGGTTCCAGTGGCAGGAGACAGGAGAGACTTTTCAGAACAGATGTATTTCCAGAACAGTCCAGTGGCTAAAATTAAATATTACATAATACACCTTGGAGGAGTGTGTTTTGCGAAGCGTGTCTTACTCGCACTCACAATAAACGCAGAAAATCAACACAATCAACACTGTTGGCAGTGAATGCACAGTCTCGACCACTCAAGTCAGCCCCTGCTGGGAAAATCTGTTCTCCCCCTAATAAAAATCTCACTAATTGCTTTTATTCAGATGCATCGGCTGCGCTAATTAACTGCATCGTGTAATTACTGGCTGTTCTTTTTCCTAGGGTTTCTAATTTTCCTAAATTGCTCGTCTGCCTAAAACAGAGAACCTGAAAGTCTCTGTTGGAAGTCATACGACAGAAATGTAGCCTGGATCTTTAAATGCAGAGCAAGTTTAATTATGCAAAAACAACAGAACAATAAAGTTTATGTGATGGAAAACACAAGATTCACTAATCAACTAAAAGTAGTCAGCTCATATTTTTTCTAATACTTATTTATTTTCCCATAACTTGGATGTATCCGTGGGCAGAGTGGTGACGCATGCAGAGCCTTTCTGTGTGTCTTATTAACTGCTGAGTTAACAAATCCCTCATTCCCACTATGGATATCTAGTTTCCAGATTAGGCAAAAATACTGAAAAAGTAATTTTAGGCACTGATAGCAAAGCATTTGCAGCCACTATTTGGGGTATAAGACAAAAAACGAATGATACAATTACGGAGCTACAAAAAAGTAATGCAAGAAGTAGACTTGCAGTCTTGAAGAAAAGGAAATCTTTTAGCTTGTGGGCCTTATGGCAGCCCGCTTAGGAGGCTTCACAAATATGGACAACAAACTCCCTTGGGCTCCTCTAGTTTCTCTAACACTTAGCCAGGCAAGTCTTGTGACTTAAGAGTTACAAGTTAAAGCTTAAAGATCAAAATACAAAATCAAAATCCATATCATCAGAAAAGTGCGGGATGAAAGGGGAGGGCTCTGTCCTAGGGTCATGAATACCAAAGCGCTGCCAGACAACAGCACAAGTGGGAACAGCAGAGCACTGCAGCCCTGAGCCACACACACCCCCACTCTCTGAGCGCCTCACCTTGCAGAGTGCAGTAAGGTCCCTGTGCTTGCTCTTGACCAGGAACTCAGCGGTGATGTCTCTGGGGGGCTTCACCTCACACGCCTCTTTGTACTGCTGGTGTAGCTCCTTCACCTTCTCCTTTGTTGCCACCATCTGTAAAAAATGACGACTGACGTTACCACTCTGCAGGCACCAACAACAGTGGCTCGAGGGGGGTTCTCCAACTCTCCTGCATGACACACCCCCTTTCAACTTTTCAAAAAAGTTAAAAAAGAATGAAATATCAAATAAGAGTATCACAGACCCTGATATGTGATATGATATGTGAAAGGGCTATTTGGTGGGGGCAGCCATACACATTGCTTAGGACCCCACCATAAAAAGAAGTGCCCCCCCCTCCCCAAGATGCTATGGTGATTAGAATATTTTTTGTGCCAGTGCACATAGATCATATTTTTGTCATGTCTGCTAAGGCTCTATATAGACTGCTGCAAAGCACAGCTCTGAATTAATGGCTGCAGGTGCACTGCCTCCTGTCGATCTAAATACCGATGAATATGTGAAAATTCCTACAATGCCCAACGATATTTATAAATCTTAGATGAGAAACTAGAGAAGCTATGTAGTGTCACAGAAAAAAGAAAGAGGGCGGTTTGGCTGCCAGACCAGGTTTTAGGACTCTGTATGTACGTGTAGCTTTAAGCTGCTCCATGCCTTTTGCGATACGCTAAATTGGACGCAACTTAGGTACCTTGTTAAGTAGTTCTTTCAGCTCTTCTTGCGTCTTAACAATCTTTTTCCAGTGCTCAATCTGCTCGTCTTTCACATGTTTTTCCTGCAACCTAAAATAAAAAAAACACAAACACAAATAAAAATGCTTGCCACCACAAACATTCCAGGAAGGCAGCAGCAGTGCAGAACAAATATCAGTACTGTAAATGTCAGAACTCCAGCGATGCAGAAATAACAATAATAATCTTAACAATTAGCATAAATGTCATGAGACATTCGACTTTTAGTTGACGAAGTATTGCAATATTTATCCTGTTCAGTAATAGAAAAGGTGCAGGTTGACATTTGGGCTCTGTATTTGGCTAAGGATCTGGTGGTGCAAAGCTACAATCTATAGAATTATGATGTATCACACCCAAGTCAAATTTCCCCCTAACAGGGGGAACGTAACTGTTAATAATAACAACAGCCCCGATTACAGCAGCTGAGAAGCTAGCCCAAGGCACTCACTGGATGACCACCTCCAGAGCTTGCCCCAGGGATACTGGCTTGTTGTTGAGAAAGTTGAAGTCCAGCTGATGGCTGAGGTAGGATGTGGCCTCCAGGAGTCGATTGAACTCCTGCTCCACCATTTCGTCTTTCTCCTTCGGCACCTAAAGGAAAGAGAAGAAAGCAATGACTTTAAGTCCGCACTGGCATTTGCTGAAGATGAGACTAGACAGTCTTTCCAGGCTGACAATGGGATAATAAGGAGATACATACGCTGGTGCATCTTTCGCCCTGATAAAAGACGGAGTCCCACAGGCAGGGTTGGAGGGGGAAGAAAGAGAGAAACAATCAATAAGTAAATGTGAGCAGAACCTTAAAAAGAAATGTACTCTGATCACTGTATACAAGTTTGGCTGACTTGATTCACTAACATCAAAGACTGGGAGTTTTATTAGAAATTCAAAATGAATTATCTAGATATAATTTCTTCTCAATGAGAACAGACCAAAAATGAAAATCGCCATTGAAAGATGTTTTAACAGAGTGACTATTAAAATTAAGAGATTTCTAATTTATAAAGGGACTCTAATTTATAAAGGGAATTTATAAAATTTACTACAAATCAATAAAGCTGTATGGTTTCCTTTCATAACATAAAAGGTAATTCAATCACCAAACATGCCTTTGTCTAAGTTTTATGCTGAGGTGAAATCATGGAGAAACATCACAGCTTTGTCGATTTCACCAATACTCGTTTTCCACAACACTCTTGACAACCGTCTTTTGCATAACAAACCAAAATCTATCAATTATTACAGCTGATCTCTCATTTTATTTTAACTTACAGCTTGACCGTTTGCTTCATATAGGGGGCACTTCTGCTTGATTTTAGCCAGCTCCATGTTCACTTGCTTGCTGATGACAGCCATGGGGTTCCCGCCTGCTCAGATAAAAAAAAAGAATGAATCGATACTCTTTACCGTGAGACATAAAGGACAATGAAAAAGACTGACAAAAACCTCCAAATTAAAATAACAGCAGTCTGAAAAACTACAACAACTGAATGTGAAAAATAAGTAGCTGCCCTAAAGAATAAAAAAAAAATGGCATCTTGCACACCTCAGGCAGGCAGGACACTCCAGCGAGAGGTAGCAGAAACAAAAATCTCACTGTTCTTTTCTTTTCTTGTTAATTATTTTTTATAAACTTTCTTAAGTAACTGTGTGGGAAAAAGCTCTTTGCATAGCCTGCCCATTTATTTTAACCATCAGCCATCGTTTAAACTGGAAAGTTTCAAAAACGTAGAGTAGCAGGGGAGATGGGAGGCTTTTTTTCCCTTTTTGTAAGTAACGAGGCCCTGGGAGAGAGTAGTCAAGTGGAAGAATGAGCAGCACAGGAATGCACCACACATTAGCATTACACTGCTGCCCAAAACAAATAGGTTCAGACTTTAGCTTGGCAGCGCTATCTCAAAGACCACTGAGGCAGTTCTTACCTACATCTCTAAAAAACTTGAGAAGAGATGGAACTGCCCAGATCTTCCTACTAGGACAATAAGCACTTAAGATCACAGGCTCTTAAGGGTGCCCACAGGGGAATATCAAGAGCTTCGTTAGAGATGGGGTTTGGTTTGTATGGGATGCAATAATATTGGCATAGGGTGGAATAAACAAAAAAGCTGGCAGCATCCAACCAGGGTCAGTTTATTCCATCCCTACAGGTGGCACTGTGTTGGTGTTGTACCACAGCGCAGCAAACGTTAACCCCTCCATTCCCGCACTGCCCACCATCCGGTAGACTGAGCTGCCAGCTCTTCACATGTCAAACGTTATCTGTTGACTTTTGACAGCTCTGAATTAACAGGAACGGCAGCAATTGCCAAACACCCACACCGCTGACAGGAAAAAAAAACTGGGCCAATAATGTCGTGTAGGAACAGAAGTCACGCCATTCGTCTGCTGTCAACATTGCCAGGCCAAAAAAGATGAGCACCCACAGAATGAAACCTTCTTATTCTGGAGCTATTTATGCATTTCACAGGTGTCCAAAAATTCTCCTGGAGAGCTCCTATCGCACCTGTTTTGTAGGTAGAAATTTCAGACTGATTTGTGAAGACACTGATCACTAAATAATTTAGAAGAAAATTCTGAAGAATCTTCACCACTTAAAGACCAGATTTCCCTTAACTGAATAAATTACTTGATGACTTGCAAGTGTTCTCATCTTAACAAAATGGGTCAAGGTGAACTGTAGGGCTAACTGGATGGATTCTCTCCAGGACCAGGGCTGGGGACCCCTGTGATGAGGTTATAAGGAATGCCAAGCCATATCCCTACCGAGTCCTGTCACAACCATGGCACCCAAATCAGCCACATAGTTTCCTTTGCGGAACGTCGCCACTCGTCCTCCAACACGATCCTGCAAAGAAATAGGACTTATTAATGTCTTTACTGCTAGAGCTAGTCAATTAGAATGTGGCCACAGAAATCATTCAACAATGAACTAATGTGGTCGGGAAAGGGATCAAGCATTCACATTCACTTTCTATACTCTGAAAACAAATATTTAATGCAATAAAAAAGGACAGCTACTGCTGAACAGAATCTTGTTCCTGCATAACACAAAACAGTGAAAATATTCCACTGCCGGTTAGCAATAATAATTAAATAACTGTCCGCTGAAACTACTATTAAAAACAAACTGAGACAACCAAAATGTAATTTATACTTAAACAACAACAATTGGTATATTAAAAACATTAAAAGATTTGGTGTTTAATTGTGGCATTTTATTTAAATCAATCATTCTCCCCCAGCTACATGACAACATCATGGATTAATCCAATGTTATTATGTATGAACCCGGTTATATAGTTTTTCATAAATGGTCATTGTTAAATACTGCCCTCCAGTGGGCTTTATAGGCAATGCATGTCAGTTCCTATATATGCGTTGTTGATACTGTTGACATGCTCCCTATTTAACAGAATACTAACAGTGCAAAGCAATGTAAATAACAATGCCAATACAATTCAATGATAAAATACTTGTCTCCTTGAAAGTATACAAAGAACAGATCAAACAGAACAAATGCAATTGTGATATTATCATCAGGTCATTTTCAAAGTTGCACTGGCTTGTGGAGTATTTGCACAACAATGAAAACAGCAGCACCACTTTAATTATTATTGCTCACATGAAACTGAGCAACAGAAAAGAATCCCCACCAAAACTGCATGTAGCTAACACTTCTGCACAGCTGTAGACAGACATTAAAAATCTTCAGTGTCTTAAATAAATGCTTTAATAACTTCACCAAATCTGACAGGACAGGGTTAACTCTTAGCACCACGGAGATAGAGCATATTGTGTCTTCTCTGCTACCTTCTGGAGTTTTGCATGTACTAGATTAACTAAAATTAAGCATTTTTGACTGGGGAAATCAATTAGCTTTTAACCCCACTTCACATGCATGCATTATCAATGCAATGAAAATTATTTTCACCTTCATTGCCCGGGAACGATTCCCACACTTCTGATAGATTTAAACTATATGAAACCTGCAATACTTTTTCATTAGGGTTTATAATAGTAATGGTTAAAAAAAGTGTACTGGGTTCACTGAAACAAAGGTTTTGTCTCTGCTTGTTATTCGTACACATTAAAGAATGAATTCAACGCTGTTAAAATCAACACAGTAGCACACTCACCCTGGCCTCCAGAACTGTGACATCCATCCCAAAGCTCTGAAGCTGACGGGCTGCAGCCAGTCCAGAGACCCCTCCTCCAATTATGATCACCTTCCCAGTCTTCTTGGCTGAAGAAGAGGAGAGACGAGCAACCAAGATTTCACTCAACCCATGAGATTAACTTTCAGTGCAAATTACATTTTGTAACTACAAATAAAGCTCAACTCAAATTATACCAAAGTGACAATTTCTCACAGAACATGCTTAAATAATAAAGGCCTCAGTTAGAGGTTATAGAAACCAGCACAGTAATTTCTTACTGCTTGTTTTTTGCAGAAATATACACAAATGACTGACTATAAATGGACAGTATACAAACTGTACTATCTTGCTTGTAAAGTGCCAAGCAGTTTGGCATTTAATCTGTTCAATCTGTTCAAATGACAAAACAAAAAAAACAGCATATCACTTTGTGTTTGCAGACAACCTGTGACTCATGGGAACACTCTGACCAATGAAGCCTATTTACTGTATCAGCAGCTTTGAGGGTGACCACAAGCACAGTGTACAAAACACTTTAACCATACTCACTGGGCAAGGGCTTGACTCTCTTGTAGATGCCGAAGTTGATAAGCCCGTGTCTCTCCAGGTAGCTGTGTATCCTGTGGACAAGCACTGCATCACCTGAGGACAAAGCACAGCACTCCTGGAACTGACTCCATTTACAACATACAGCAGAGCTTCAAAACAGCTTTATCATATAAAAGTAAACACCTGCCCACCTTGTGCTAATGAAATAATTACTACATGCTCGAATTTGTTCTCCAAGTAGGCCAGACCCAAGACTGAGTGCTAGGTTAACTTCGATGCGAAAGGTAATTTGTTTTCTTTATTTGGGCCACTCCTCAGCAACTGCTTTTGGTTTTCGGTGATGTGGGCTGCAGCATTTCTGAGAGCAACATGTAGGACGGTACTGACATACTGGACAAACTCACTATTGTAGGGGGCTTCAAGCTGCTGCAAGGTGGCCTCAAAGGTCAGCTGGATCTTAGGGTTATCGAGCCAAAGCTGGAGCTGTAACAAAAATCAAGAAGCCAGAATGGGTCACGTGAAAGGGTTTGCCGGAGAGAAAACAAAATGGGAAAATGGTCCTTAGCCTTTTAAGGACCAAGATCAGTCACATGCACAAAAGTGCATGTTGTTCATCCAACAACAAAGCGTAAAACTGTCCATGAAAATCATTTAAAAACTGTACCATCCCGTGTCTTCTCCAAAGAAAAGACTGACACGGATGGGTTTGCCCTCAACTAAAGCCCCTCGCCAACCGACTCACTGTGCGGTTTCTGATGTAGAGGAAGACTTTTTGAGTCTGCTGGGGGCCGCTGATGATGTCGGGGAAGCAGGCTGCCTCCTGGGACGTCATGCGGTCATGCGGCAGTCGACTCTGGAAGGCTGCGCCCTCCACGCCTACAGACAAAAAAATTATTTGCTCGCACACCAACCCCATTCCGCACCGCAACCGATGAAAAGACTCGTTTTTGGAGCCATTGAGAGCACAATCCACACGTCTTTTTCCTGAAAAAGAATCACTACAAGAAATTCAAAGGAACCACAGAGAATCATTAAAAGAAAAAAAACAAACAAATACCAAACCAAAAGGAGGATCCATGAATGCAAATGAGAACCATTGTAAAGTAGGTGGTTATATTTTTTATTTTAGACCAGATTTTATAGGTACCAGGTTTTACAGATATTATACAATTACCAACAGATTAAGGCCAGAAAAACATCTGATTTGACTTGTTTCCAAATACTTAGCTAAAGCTATCTAACAAGTCTGAAATAAATGCCTGAAATGGATTGAAAGTCTTTCAATCCTGTTTCAGGAGCTGCAGATTTTTGTTTACTCTACGATGGTCATGCAAATTTAAGAGTATAAGAGGGATGTCAGGTCCTACCAATGTTTGAACTTAGCACACCAAAAAACAGTGTAAACAGTATCGACAACAGATAAGATAAAATGAAAGAAACATCTAGCTGGTAGATCAGAAATTGCCTTCCTCTTCTGTGATATTAAGAGAAGAGAAGAGAGATAAGATCACTTATAAGACACATACAATTTCTTGCATTAGGAATTTGCCTTTTCGCATACCCCAGCTTGCTCTCTACGAGGCACAGACATACAGACAGGGAGAGAGAAGCTTGGGGTCAGAGCACAGGGTCAGCCCTGGAGCAGTTGGGGTTAAGGGCCTTGCTCAGGGGCCCAACAGAGTAGGATTCCTCTGCCGGCAGCGGGATTTGAACCATCAACCTTCCAGCCACAGGCGCAGATCCTTAGCCACAGTGGCACCGCTCTGCCCACCCAATTAGTGGCTGGGATAAGCGATACGAGGGTTATTTTCAGGCTTGGAGTAAAAGGACTGACTAGGGTGGACTACCCCGGGCTGTAGTCTGGCGGGGAGGGGCTCTCACCTGAGGGCTCCTCAGGCTCGCTGTCGATCTCCTCCTCCACCGGAGGGGCAGGTGGGGGGGGCGCCTGTTTCCTCTCCTTCTCAGCCTTGGCGTTCCTCTCCTCCTCGGAGTAGTACTCATCTTCAGAGAGGTTCGCCAGGCTCTCATCCATTTCTCTGTACTCCACCTGCCACAAGAAGCACAATAAACGCTTCATTAAAACCACGTTCTCGCTCACAGGGGCTTGTTGTTAATTTATGTGGCCGACGCTTTCATCCAGTGTGATTTACGTTCACACCCTTTAAGAGAGCTGAGCAACCTGAGTGGAGTACTGTGCTCAGGGGCACAGAAGAAGTGGCCCACCTTGGATTTCAACCCACAATCTTCCACACAGAAATACAAAGCCTTAACCTTACTACTGCTTTTCATCCTTTTTTTTTGATAATCCAAGTACAAATGAAAATCAATGAGAAGTCAGTGCATCACCCTTTGACACTGCTGGGCTATAAAATGCATTCACCAAGGGCTGCAAACTCAATAACAGAGAACAGCACAGAATGCAGTTTTTTTTCTGCATAAAATCAAGTTGAAAACTAGCAAAACCAGTGAAGGAATTGATCACACCTTGTGTGTAGGGTTCGGTATTACACAAAGAAAGGTATATGTGTTCTCCTCTCTCCTATCATCACAAGTAAATCAGCCGCCTAAAACGTTCTCCCTGCCACTAAAACTCATCGACTACTCAGGTCGCTGTCCGTTAACTAAATTGATTGCCGGCGAGAAACTAAATTGTGTAAAACTGTGTGTACTGAATTTGCCGGCGAGAAATTAAACTGTCGTGTCTTTGTGTAAGGAAGCTGGCCCCTGGGAGGCTGTCCACTCGCCGCCTGCCTACACCTGCGCTGCGCCCAGGGGAAAGGAGATATAGGGTGGTTACTTTCGGTCTCTTGCGGCGGCTTGTGCGCCGGCCTTCCGCAGTGTCGGCCGCGTCCCCGCCGCCGGAGCCGGAGTGCTGAAGAGGGGCTCCGCTGGGATCTCTGCTGGGAGAGGCATGCTCTTTTTTCCGAGGCGTCCGGTCACTGGGAGCCCCGCTCTCCGTGGCGCCCGGGGCTGTGCTTGCAGCCCCGGTCTGACCCACAAGCTGCAGGTCAGGAGCTCGGTCACTCCCAGCTCCGGGGACCGCGGACGAAGAACCTGGGTCCGATTTTTTACCGGACAGCATCACTGAGGAAGGAAAGGGTCTCTCCTGGTAGGGAAAGAGAGAGATGTGTAAGAATAAAATTGTCTGATAAAACTCCGTTTATGATAACGGCTCATAATGATTACTGGGAAATACTATTGTTTTAAAGGGCCTTGTCAATAGTCTGGCTTTCTCAAAAAAAACGAAAAAGCCAAACCTTCACAGCAGCACGTTCCTATTTTGACTTTCAAGGTATTATCTATATCGATATACAGTCCCCTGATTATCATCGGAGAAAGGAAAAGTTTAAGCTACTTTTTTCACTGATTTTTTTCTTCTCCTTTTTGAGAAATACAGGTAAACATACATGACGTGTCAGAAAAATACTTTTGGAATTCAGTCTGCTGTGTTTTTACGTACTGGGCCGATAAAACTACCCTCCAGTACACAATAAACGGTATGTACCGTGCATGGTACAGGATCACGTCTAAATTTATAAGCAGATTCAACGAGAAGAAGAATCTGCCCTCTCAAAATATTATGTACTTTCATTTTCATTCTAACCCTGGAACAAAATTACTATTAATTACGACATTTTGTAACGAGGAAGGTGTTTCGCAGGACAGCAAAACGCTTCACGCTACACACGAGTGACCAAAACTTTTCATTCAAAGCTTTCATTCCTGGATCTCCTCTCCTATATATTTTTTTCATGTTTCCAGTTCAAATCTCTTTGTCCGTTCAATGCCGAGTGTCTCTTTATTTTGGTTATAAGGAGCATTACACAAGTATTTTTTAAACACTACGTGCATGTTTACGTTTTCTCCAATATCTCGTTTCTTTGTTTAGGCAATCATAGTCAATGAAAAGACAGAATATCTTACAACGTGCGACCACATTACAAAACCCAAGGTGCTGATGTGGTGAAAATGAAGATGTCTAAGCAGTATAATAATAACCTTTTCTTGTTTAATCCATTTCTCGGAGCACCTGGAAATATCCATTCAATCACTAAGAAATAAAAACAGAGTCAGATCATTACAATCATATCTGGGGCTTCGGTGAAAGAGGCTGGGAATTAAACAAATGTAATTGGAGAAAAGTCATGTGTAGCTATGTCACAAATGGAAATTAGCTATAACAGAAATACAGATTACCACCGCAATCCCTCTTTATCAGAACTGCTGCTAATGCCTGAATATGCATTATGAAACACAGAAGTCTGCAAACAACGAGCATTCAAATGGCGTTTTCTGCAGAGCTACGTTTCTTTACGATCGAAACGTGACTAATTAAAAGGCTAGCGCTTGCTTCTCTTTTCATTCTTTTTAAGAAGGGACAACATTACAGACATATTAACCCATATTGGCAACAATCGTATTTAAACCAAATATAAGAGACCATGCTATTTTTGCCAATGGGCTCACGCTACATTTTTCGATGCACCAGAACACCATTAAAAAACAGTAGCTTCCCGCTGTCACATCAAATTGTACACAATTAAGACTAGCGCAGAAACAAAATGTAACCTCATACATGACACCAGCAATTATCTAAAAGTACCACGTATCTTTTAACATTTAAAAACGTTAACATATCTACCGTAACTCTCCACGGTTATCAACACAAAGGAGCTCTTCCACTCAGTTCTCCCAGCTGCTTGGCCCAGCCTCCTGCTTCGCCCTATTGGTTGGAGGACATACCGGACACCAAAATATGGCGTTGTGATTGGCTGCCATCGCTGTCGCACTACCGGCAATGGCGGAAGCTCTGCCTACCATGAGAGTTCACGAAGCCAATGCGCATACATGAATGCGCGGAACCGTAGACAACGCGCGTTCACGATTAAATAATTAAAGAAATAGGTAACCGTGACTTCATTGGTTTAATGTAGTGCGGCTGCTTATTTCTTTCACAAGTGTCTGAAAGACCCCCCCCCCCCCCACCTCCACAAGCGTTAAAAGGCGATAATGTGAATATTTCCCAATATAGCTGACAAAACAAATTAGTAGTTGTGCCCAGAGTGACGTCACTATCCGAACTCGATCTGCAGGAAGATGAGACTTGTTTGTCGGGACAGGTAAGTGTTTGCATAGGCAGTGAGTGTCACTGTAGGGTTTGTGCACATAAGAAGTTTCATTTTGTGATTATTTATTGGAGGTTTCATTTATAGATTTCACTCTCCTGCAGCGTCCAGCGTTTGGGGTGCTTGGACTGGGGTGGTTGAAGGTAACTCCAAATTCCATCGTTCGCTTTTTTTTTTTGAATGTCGGGATGTTTTGTTGTGTATCTGCCGTGGTAAATGGGGGGTATTCAGTCGGTTGAAGGTGAAAAATTAAAAGTCTAACCAGCGCCCTGCGATTGCTTTCAGAAATGACTTTTGCGATACGGCAACAAATATTCTACTTTCCTAAACTGATACCTACATTAACCAGGTATATATCTATACATCAATCTTCAATTTCTATAAACTTTGAACTTTGAGGCTCTCTATAATGTAACCAGCAAAAAACGTACTATTAGCGTCAGCGCTATCTTTCGTATTGGCATACTTTATTTACTCCAGTATACAATATCTTTTAGGGGGTTTATGATGTAGGGGCGTTCAGTCTTAATCCCACAGATGGCGGCTTCGCACTGTACCCAAGTATACAGTATTATAGCGCCAAAACATTTCCCGATATGCCTAATTCATGTACTCATGTTCCAGTCCGCTGAGTCGCATAGGTTAACCGAACCACGAGAGCACATCTGTAGGTCGGCACTGAAAAGGAAAACATTTTTATTAATGAGCTATGAAGTACCGTACTTCATCTTCAAGGGTGGAGCTGCGTTCAGTGAAAACTTCCAACTCTCCCTTCCGGCAGTGTAAACTCGACACACGTATATGTGTCGCACCTTTGGTTTTTTAAGGCCTATTATTTTAAAGGCGCTGCCTGAGATGAGCTGAATCCAAATAAATGTTACGATTAACCAGGTAGAAGTATTTCCAATAAGAAATGGGCTCTGATATGCCTTTGTATTGTCTTGAACAGTAAAAGCATTATGCTGAGCTTTGTTCTGTCCTTCCTCATTTTAGTATAATTGCTCTTTAAAACCCCAGAATGGAGAGCTCCGTTTTCCAAGATGATTAATCGCTGGCACCTCCTCCAAGGGAAAAGAAGGTTGATGCTTAAGTCGTGTACTGATGAAGCCCAATTTTATTTTATTTTTTGGGACGATGAAATCTAATCTTTGTATTCAAAGAGCTGGGAAACAGGTGGGCTTTGTGGGCGAAGTTGCTCATACCTCGATTCTCTTTTCCTTTTGGATCCACAGGTCCATCTGGAGGCTATAAAGAAGCTCCGCAAGTGAGAGCATGAAGAAGGAAGGGGAAAATGCAAATAAACCTGATAACACAGCCTTCACCCAACAGAGACTTCCTGCGTGGCAGCCTATACTGTCTGCAGGAATAGTTATCCCTGGGTTTGTCGTCATTGGACTGGTGTTCATCGCCATTGGCGTTGCACTCTTCCTCACCTCCAAGAACATCCAAGTTCTGGAGGTATGTGCATCACCGCGACTTTTCCTTTGATCACCAAAAATGTGTGTTTATCTAGCAGTTTTCATCCCACCTTGTCCCAAGGCACTGAACCGTGAAACACAGGCCAGAGAAATACTGGTAATTTTTGTGGTTCCCTCACCTTTGCAAGTAGTTTCTCCTTTCATTTGTAAAAATAATATCATTCTGCTCTAACTTTGAAATTGTCTTAGAAAAATACTGGTTGTCGGCTGTCTGCACTAACAACCAGTTTGGAATCACCAGTTCTCTTAGACCAGACTGGCACCAGAAAATGGAACATTAGGACTCTAATCCAGTACTCGCATCTGTCAGTGCCATTCATCAATTGGATTGAATCAAGACACGACACACACAAGGCCGTTTGCTCCAATTGGAGTTCTGATTCAATGAATCTTTCTGTGCTTTGCAGATGGATTATACGGGAACGGACACTGGATCTCCCTGTTCTAAATGCACTTATAATGTATCTTGTAAGTGCTTGCTCACCTTTCAGCTGGACAAACTGTTTGAGGTATGTTCCCTGCCTGTATGAGACTTGACCGTGAATTAAGAAAAGCAGGGGCCAAAAGTTGGACAGGTAACCTGCAAAGTCGCACGTGTTTAGAAGAATACTTCAGTCCACGATGAGAGAGTTTATGAAAATTAGTCATTGGCAGTGTATTGTCACCAACCTTTGCGTATGCTTTCATAAATTAAGAGATGTGTAGCTGTCAAAAAGTAAACTATTATAAACCATGCCATGAAATGGTAACAAATAAAAATAATGAATAATAATTTGTTGCAAGAGAAAACATAAAAGCAGCTCAGGCTAAATGTCGATTAAAATGACCAAAGGCACTTTTTAAAACAAGCTATTTTTGCTTTCTAAACAGGGTCCTGTTTTCTTTTATTATGGCCTGTCTAACTACTACCAGAACTATCGCAAATATGGAGTTTCTCGGGATGACTACCAGCTCTTTGGGTACATTTCCAATCTGAAGGTATGGTGATGATAAGCATTATTATTATTTATAAAGAAATCGCACAAAGGCCGTGCTAAAAAAGGTGAGTTTTGAGTTTGGATTTTGAAGAGAGTCAAAGAATTTGTCTCTCGCAGTGTCTGAGGAAGGGCATTCCATAACAATGGAGCAGCAACAGCAAAGGCACAGTCACCAAGGGTCCGAGATTAGGTCTTTGCTACAGTTAGCAAAGAACCTGCCTCAACTGGGCAGAGCCTACAGGGAGTAGTGTAAACATGGAGAAGTTTCAGAGGCGTATGAAGTTTCAGAGCTAGATTATATAGAGCCTTGAAAGTCAGTAATAAAATATTGAATACATGACTTTATAGGCAATCGGTGTAGGGACTTGTGTCAGAGTGATGTGCTGCCAGGGCCAGGAATGAGTTAGTAGTCTAGCTGCAGAATTTTGAATATATTGCAACTTGTTGAGAAGAGTGTTAGGGAGCCCATAGAGTTGAAGAAATCAAGCCTTGATTTTATAACTGCATGAATCAGGCACTCAGCATTGATAGAAACTGCCCAATGCGGGCAATATTTCTAAGGAGGAAAAAAAGTGATTTTGATCAAATTTTTCATATGAGGCCCAAAAGACAGGAGAGGATCGAACGTGACTCCCAGGTTCCTGACAATTGCTGATGTGAGTGGGGAAGCCCTCAACAATTACTCTGAAGCTCTCAAGCTTTATCAGCTGACATTGGCTACCCACGAGAGTAAAATCTCTGTTTTGTCGCTATTTAGCTTCAGGGAATTTGATGTCAACCAGAGTTTGATGTCACACAACCGAGGAGTAAGGGAGGGGGGAGACCTGAGGAGGAAGACGTTTTAACATAAATCTGGGTATCATCTGCCTAACAGTGAAACTGAAGACCGTGTTTATCTATAATCTGGCCGATAGAAAGTATATTAATATAATAATAGCAAATGGCCTAAGGCTATTTTCTAATGACACCACACTGAAGCGTCTCCTCTTCAAGGTTAAAACTGTTTCAGTTAGAAACTCTCTGACTGTTAACTGCTGTATTACTTAGTGCTTGTTTGACCCTGCTTAGTGTTTATTATTCTCCTTTTACAGAATCCAGGAAATGATTGTTCTCCTTTCCAGTATGACCCCACAGGCCAGCCGATCGCTCCATGCGGGGCAATTGCTAACAGCTTCTTTAATGGTACCGCTGCGCCGAATGAAGCACTTGAATGGCTTGTAGGCGTGTGGTCACACTGGCCTTGCCACTCACCCCTTTGTGATTCTTATTTGCAGACAGCTTCAGGCTATTTCACAATGTTGATGGAGTGGATATGGAAGTTCCTCTGGATGGAAAAGGAATATCTTGGTGGTCAGATTATAATGTGAAGTTCCGAAATCCTGAACTAACAAATGGCACCCTGAAAGACACTTTTAAAGGTGATGATTCTATGCATTTGTTGTGTGTTGCACTTTGTTGTTTTTTTTAACTATTTTTACCCGATTAACATTTTAAAGGCCAGATATTATGAAAAAAAATAAGCTCTAATCAGTTACACTGCAGTAAATTGCCCTTTGGTTGGTCTTACTTTGCATGGTGCACATTGTAGAGCTAAGCAACAATATTCTGGCATTCAGCTGTTTCTGTTATTGAGCTAAGTAAATGTTGGTGTGGACTATAACAGAAATATAGGGCTACAGTACAACAGGGGAAAAAAAGTATTTGTAGGATAAAGAACAGCAAAACATAGAAGAATACACAATTTTTATTCAAGCTTTCAAAACAAAAAGCATTGATAAAATATCAGAATCATGATGCACTCAATTTACAGAATTGCCCTACTGTTAGTTTAATATTACAATAACTTGTTGCAGAGACTATAATAATGTGTCTATGACAAACAGACAAAAGGCAGAATGTTAAAGTATTCATTTTAATTTCTCTGTGATGCCTTTTACTTTTACGTATTAGTGTTGCTAATAGTCTTAAGGCATCTTTTGAGAACTAGAATTAGGCATGGTTGTGCTGAACGAGGAGGGAAATAAAAAAAACATTCATTTTTAAAGATGTACCTTTTTTTCCTAGGCACTGTGAAGCCTTTGAACTGGGTTAAGCCTGCGTATGAACTAGACAGCAATGTGAACAACAATGCGTTTTTGAATCAGGACTTCTTGGTGTGGATGAGGACTGCAGCTCTTCCTAACTTCAGGAAGCTCTACAGACGAATTACTGAGGGAAATTACTCCAGTGGCTTACCTGCAGGGAACTACTCCTTGGAAATATCATACAGTATCCTTTACTGTAGCACCAAGAGTGAGGTTCCCATCAGGAGTTGTTTAAATGTCTTTGTATTAAAAATCCAGAGTCTTGTTGAATGCAAAATAACTTGATTCATCAAATGTTATGAACCCTTGTAGACAGTTAGACTTTTGAAAGGTTCTTAGTGGAAGTTGAAAGCAAAGTGTCCCTTGATTTACTACCAGAGACCTGAAGGTCTCTGAATAGCATTAATCTGAAGGGTGTCAGTGTAGTCTGAAGTGATCATGCATATTTTAGACGTTTGCTATATGTAGTTCACGTGATTAGTAGATTTAGTCTGGGGATATTCCACCTGCTTAACCGGTTTAGTCAGTCTGGAGTAATGTTTCTGAATGCTTATATTTAACACGATTCAGGCAGTACATATCTCTGGGTAAAATGGCATGGAATAAAGAATGACATTATTTCAAAAGGTTCAGGTGCACTCTAACAATGATGTGTGCGTGTGTGCTTGGCAAGGTGGAGCAAAAGAATTCTGCATACATTTGTGATCTTTCTTTAGCAGGTGGAAATAAAAAAAACACTTAAAAATGAAGGCAGAAACAGGATAATGAGGGTTATCGTTGTTGTAATGCTGGGTTAGTGATTTACACTGAAAAGTGCCTCAAATGGGTAGTGTTTATTATTAAACAGCCTAGTTGTTTTATCATAAGTGATTTGAAAATGTCACCAGAAACTGAGCCACTTATTTATAAAATATCTGAGTGGATTTTGCTTCTGTTGGACAACAGGATAGATAAGGAGTCATGAACATGAAATCTCCAGGATATGTAGCAGTCAAGAACAAGAAATTCTGTAGCATGTTTCCTTAATACTTACTCCTTTTTCCAGATTACCCAGTGGCGATTTTCCAAGGCCAGAAGAAAGTGGTATTCAGCAATGTTTCTTGGATGGGAGGAAAGAACGAGTTCTTGGGGATAGCCTATTTGGTTATTGGCAGTCTTTGCATCGTTATGTCCGTTGTCATGCTTATTGTCTATGCAAAGTTCCAGGTTCCGGATGAGGATTTGTGAAATCTGCTGGAAACTGGAGGTTCATTAAGATGCTTCGTTTCATTGTATGCTGGTTGGGAATTCAGTCTTGTTTTTCTTGACGTGCTGCTATGTTGTTTTTAATGAGGTTTGACATCAGGTGCTTTAACTTGCATACAACAGGTGGAATCCTGCATTAGGACATATATACTTTAAAATCATTAGGAATTAAAATTAAAATAATATTAGGTACTATGAACACTGAACTTTTAAGCCATGTTTTTCCCCAGTTTTAAACAGTCAATGCTGTGACCTTGCAGGACTTTCAATTGATTTTTATATGGAATGCAATTTCTGCACGTTAATCTAAACCACATCAAAATCAACTGCATCTTGATTTGTTTAGTCCATTTTTGTTTCGGGGGCTTATTTTGGACATATGGTAGCAGGTATCATGAAACAAATGGGTAATGCGGATGTGGTGATCACATGCATTTAAGGCATGTGTGCAATACCTACTTTTTGCAAATTGATGAGGAGAGTTTGCTGAATCTTTGAGTTGGGCTTCAGAAAGATGTCTCATGGTCTCCTTTGCAGTGTAGCATTGAGGTGTTTCCGTTTCTTGTGTGCAGCCTATTATAAATCATATTTCCCAATCCGAGCCATTGTCATCATGAAAAACCTGATGACAAACAGCATGGTAATTTCCAAGTTTGTGTAGACACACCCATGAATTTATGAGGTTTCTTGCGAACCTAAGCATGCAAAAACACTAAGAACATGCTAAAAGTGATTTATACGGACAGGAGTAACCTCTACACCTTGATAATTGTAATGGCTCAAATGGACTGAAAGAAATCATGTTATAAATATGAACGTATCCTGACTCAGAAACTAAATAACTTTTTAAACTGTGTATTTAGTTAATGGCCTTTGTAAATTACTCACTTTGTGTTTTTTGGGGTTCTCAAATGTATTTTATTCTTGCTCTATTCTTTTTTTAAATGATACTTCTGTATAGGGGGAGCCTTAACCTACTTATTTAAATGTTATATTTTTACAATGCTGGATACTTTTCTATGAGTGAATAAGGTGTTTACAAATTTGTATATGTTCTATGTGAGAGATTACACCACCTCTTTTTTCCATAGTTGAGAGAGTCACTGTGCAATGCAGGCAGCTGTGGATTGAACTGTTGAAAATTGCTGTTCTGTTTTTCCAATGATGGGATGGAGGTTCCCTAGTACTTGAATTTTTTCTTATTAACCAGTGCCGGGGGAAACAAAAAGTACATTTCCGCAAATCCACATTATTTTTTTAATAAAAATGGGCACCATCATATACTCTATCTAGCTGGAATCCAGAGACAAGAGGCTTTCTGATAATGAATGGATGAATTGTCTAAAGGAGACGGATTGTATTATGTGGTTTTTATTTTTAATGAAGTGCACTTTTAAAAACTGCATCTTCAGATTTGAAACATAGACATATGCAACTAAAAAATAGATAAGTGGAAGATAGAAGGAATTAACATTTGGTTTCATACTGAATAATATCCTGTCAAAGCCCATGATTTAATCTTTACGGTGAAAATAATTCTGACCATTTATTAGTCCTATTTTCCTAGGATAATTTTTACCTCTGTATTTTTGTTTCATTTTCTGAAGATGAGGAAGGATCGTGTAAACAATCTTGACACATGATTTTATTTTAATGCTTTTTAGTTTTATGAAAACTTTTTTATTTTTTGGTATATTATTGATCACATCCAATCAGTTAGCAATGAATAATTCATGGTTTCATTATTGAAAAATATCTCTCTTCCATATCTATACAGAGTTTAAAGGCATGTAGTTCATCAAAGTAAGAAAGTGCCTGTTTTTTAAAATGAGCTATTTTTAAATTATGACCAAATAAGTCTGAAAATATATTTTTGTGATTTGACATCTTGTTCCTGTACAACCACAATGGAAGGCAAGGAAAAATACAATTTTAGTATTTTAGTGGTAGAAGTTAAATATCAAAGTCTGTGAAATTCACACTAAGAATGTTTAGTACTGAATAAAACTCTTCTGCTGAAATTGAGGTTTATGTGCTTTATTTACCTTCAAAGAGAATACTAGATTTTCATTTATATTTAACTGTATATACAACAGATTACAGTAAATATCCTTTTGTTTCGTTCATCTTGACAATTTCTTCCAAGCTGTGATGTTACAAACACCAGCTCACAGGCGATGACATCACAATCAGCCACCTGTTAGTGCAGAGGTGCGATTCTAGAGAGCCACTCTGGTCAGTCTGTTGTTCCAGCTGCAAAAGATGTGATCTTTAAAGTCTGTGAAAGATGTAAAAGGCCAGGAAAATGTGTTTATCATTTTGGCCTTTCTCCAGTTCCTCAGCCAAGAGCCCATCAAAGCTTCCAGTATGGGCTACGGTGGGCATGGATGTAACTACAGATGAAATTGCTGAATTTTTAAAAGCCAAGGCTGAAGAAAAGCAGCTCTCCTTGGCGGTTGATCTGCTTTTCCCCGTTGTGTGTCTGCTTCTCCTCCTGCTGGTGTTTGCCTTTGCTTTGTACTGGGTATCCAGCAGGTGGCTCAGATGGACGAAAGGGCAGGTAAACTTCAGCATTGGAGTATTTTATGGACAAAAATGCTTCGAAAATATTGAGCAGCATCAGGCTTCCTACTTCCTGGTACACTTAAGTCAAGCTAGATGAAGAGTACATGGCAGAGGAATGGTAAAATAATATTACCTGGGAGCTTAAAGAACAATGTAATATTTTCAGGTGGGGTATTGTATCTTTAGTCTTTTAGTATACTGTTGGCTTTTTTCACAAGAACATGTTGCACATACAACTGTTCTAACCTGGCTAACAGTTTCACTTAACATATTTCACAACTTAAACCGACAAATGTTATTTTATCATTTTTGCCATATTTGGTTCAATGTATTTAACCATTTGCTATGGATCGTCAGATACTGTACAAGATACAAGTACTGAGTGAGAATGTATGCATCATAAATTAATATCATACATATGTAGAAATATAAAGTGTACGCTTATGTTGACGTCTACTATGGCTATTTAAAAATATCAAGAGTGGCATCTAGCGTATGTAAATAGTACTTTGGTTGATTGTAGGAGATTCGTGTTGAACAGGTTAATTATGACGAGTTCTTGCTTTAGCAAAGGTTATTTCCACGTACAAAAAAAGACTGTCAACAAATGGCACTGTTCTTTTTTTATTATTTCTCTTGGCTTTTCCTGTCGGGCTGCAGCAAAAGTTCCGACTCGTCGGCTGGACAGAGCTCATCTCTGAGCATTTGCGCCGCGGGCTGATCCTGAAGCAGACGATCGTCTCCCGGCTAAAGGCGGCGGAGATGAGAATAGACGCCCTTGAGAAGATCCAGGTGGCGGACGGCCGGGGAAAGGCAGCGAGCCGGCGCCCCAGTCCTCCCCGCTGCGACTGCGTCTGCCATCGCTTGGAAGCCTATGAGGGCAGCCAGGAGTCCAACGTCGACTCGTCGGAGGACAGCGCCGCCTGAAGCTTCGCCGAGAACGAGAGAGAAAAGGATACTCAAAAACGTATAAAGTCACCTTATAATAAAAAAAAATACAATTCGGTTATTTTATATTGTTTTTATACACGGATTTGCATTTTAATGTTGAAATTAAAATGTGCGAATCTGATGTGTGGTGAGCGAACTGACGCGCTTGGCTGCCGTCGCATCATCCAGGTAGGGGCTACACATGCAGGTGCAGGTGTTGGTGGAGGGGAATCCCGTTACATGTAAAGCACATTGAGGGTTCAAGAAAAGCACTAAATAAGTGTAAGGGTATATATATATGAAATGTAAAGAACTTTATCTCTGTTCTATTGAATTGGTGTGAAAACGGCAGGAAATCTCTTTCTGTATTTTTAATTTTGAAGCAGATACCTACAAAAAAAATGTACTAGTCCTCTTGTAAATAAATGCGTATCTGGTATGGAAAAATCAATCAATAATTTAGAGGTATTCTAAACCACTGTAAGCTACTATTTGTGGGCCCTTTCTTCTGTAAACATTTAAAGTGACATCTATGAACTCTGGGCTTTCTCTACTTTTATATCATTATCTCACAGTTTGAGCATTGCGAAAGACAATGACAAATGACAAATCCTCATATCTTCTGAACCCCTTTCTGTGCAGTACAGATGTAATGGGAAATACTGCACTTCACCCTCACTGGGATTTGTGACATGTGATGCCATCACAATGGGCTGATGAGGGCTGTTCGCCTCTTGGATTTTGAACAGGTGATTGGTGGAAAGCAGAAGACTGAAATGGCTTGCTCGCAGCACTGCAAGCTACCAGCATGGTCAAGGGTGGGAATGGAGATCACCCCAGATGATCTTAAGGAAACACTTGCTAACAAACCGAGCGAAGGTCTGTACGTGACATCGGGGCCACCATGTCCCTTCCTGATGGCCTGCCTTGCTGCTGTTTTTTTCTGCATATTGTCGTTGTGCCTGTACATCAGACTTACGAAGAAGAAACAAGAAAAGGTGACACTTCAAGCCGTTGAAATCTGTGTTCATCAGCTGGGTCAGGGGTCTCTACTTTCTTGACATTGCACTGTTATATTATTTCAAGTGCACCGTCCTCTTAATTGCTTTCTCGACTCGCCAGTCTGTTTAAGCTGTATATGATCTCTTCAACAACAGCTGCTGTTTTTCTATTCTGGGAAAGCTCTTCCAGCAGAAGTAACAAAAGAAAAGGGCTACACAAACCTGGACACAATGATGTGAGGAGGGGATGCAGATATGCTCCAAAGTGCATTTTCATCTGTAGTACTGATGGAACAGGCTGTGGACAATTGTGGAATTTAGAAGGAAGTGACGTGGCAAACAGTGCAATGTATTTACAGAATTTCCAACAAAGTCTAAAATTCTCACTGAACCAAATTTCTGAAAAACATCAAGTGTGAGCATCGCTAGTCTAATCCTTTTTCCCAGACTTGTTTTTCCCAACAACATTACTCCCCTCTGCTGCCATAAATCATTTATTGACCATCCATTTAGAGCTGGTTAATAAACCAGGGCAGCACAAATTTTAATCTTTTAAGTTGAAACACATTTTACAATTTTAAGCCCAAATAGCCATATACCTGCATTATTTCCAAGTAATAGTGCAGGTAAAAGAGACTATGAAATTAAGGCCTGAATATGGAAGATGTTCAGAATCCTATTACTGGCTAAATTAAAGGTCCAGTAACTTTCATTAAGAGCTCAATCAGAGCAGTGATAATAAAACACACAGGCTGCCCAGGACTATAAGTGTGAAACAGAAGCCTAGCTTTTTCTATAGCAGCTAAATCCACTTTCATGCCATTGCAACCCTTATGTTAAGAGTGAGCATCTCACCACTGGCAGTCCAGTAAAGCTAAGCAGGTGTGAGCCTTGCCAGTACCTGAATGAGAGACCTCCTAGGAAAGCTAAGGTAGCTGCAGAAAGTGAGTTAGTGGGACCAGCTAGGATATTGCTCACTCACCCTATGGTCTGTGTGGGTGCTAATGCCTCAGTATAGTGAAGGGAACACTGTACTGCAAAAAGGGTGCTGTCCTTCAGATGAGACATTAAACTGAGATCCTGACTCTCTGTGGTCGCCAGGGTGTTTTTTTTAAAAGAGTAGGGTTAGGGATACCATCACCCTGGTATCTTGGCCAAATTTCCCCCAGGCCTTTACCAACCATGCCCTCTTAACAATCATCATCTCTGAACTTGCTTCATCACTCATAGCCGATGTGTGGTGAGTGTACCGGTGCACTTTGGCTGCCATCGCATCATCCAGGTTGGGCCGCACTTTGGTGGTGGTGGAGGAGGGTCCCCATTACCTGTAAAGTGCTTTGAGTGGCATGCCTAGAGAAGCCATGTATAAGTGTAAGGAATTAATTCAATATTAAGCCAGTCTTTGTACTCCTTTCTTTTGGCAAGCAGCCCCTCTCTGCATGGAGTGTCAGCATGTCAGGTATCCCCAGTGAGTTCAAGGTCCTGTATCAGGGGCTCATTTTACAAGAGATGATCTTCCAGCGGATTGGGGCTATGGAGCTCAGGATCGAGTCCATCGAGGACTTTCTAGCGGGGCTGTGGCACAGAAGGTCGTCAGGAGACAAGAGGAGGAAGGACAAGACAGGGGAGCAGTCATCAGGAAAGGAAACAATGAGGTTCTCCGACAGCTTCTCGGAGTGAACCCATTCCTGGTCCCTTCTGACCACCATATTGGCGGCCCAATAAAAAATCCCACTGAAGTTACTGCAAATGAGTGTTGGCACATTGTTATGAAAAGGAGTTTAAAAGGAAATGTGCATGTACATATTGAATTCCTTCAGCACAATTTAAAAATAAAATCCGAGTTTTTTCTAGGTGGTAATATTTCTCAAACAAAACTGTTTTTACACCGTATGTGCAACAGCCTATTCAAATTAATCGTCGGTTTTTCACCAGTTTCGTGTTTAAGTGGTGAGTCGAACAAAAACAGCGTGGGGAGACATTTGTAGACTACTATTACGGAGGAAAGGGCTATTTGACCCTCCTCCTGATTTGATAAACTATTTTGCCTTTAGGTCTACATGACAGCAAGCACATTTTAAACGTAATACGTTTAGCGCCACGGAGAAAAAAAATATTTATTGGATTTAGACAAGATAACATTGAGTTTATGTACGTTAACCAAAAGCATTTGCAAACCAATGCTTTTCGTAAAATTCAGGACATTATTCCTGCCATTGTATCAGTGGGGTTGACGGGAAGTGCAAGATCACGTGATAGAGCATCGCCACGTGACCTATGTTTAAGCCAAGATGGCGGCTGCAGGGGCTGAGCCTGGTATTACGGCTGATGGTAGCGACGATGCCTTTCAATTGTTTTACTCGGAGGTAAAAAATACATATGTACATTATGATTAAAAAAAATACCCTGAAAGTACCATGCGATTTTCAAAGTGTCTTTGGGAAATTTCTAAGCTGCAGCCCCGCAGGGATCCCCAGAATGTCCGCGCAGGGCCCTGCGTAAACTGGGTGAATTTGAGGGAATGGCTGCAAATCAACACTGTTGTTTCCTATCGAAGACCAAGATTAAAGCCTGATTGTAAGGCTGTTATTTCACGTTATATAACAAAAACAATCAGAGTTTGAAATGCAGGTGTTTATGAAATCACAGATATTTTTTGGCGTGCTTGAGTACTTACGGTATGATTGGTGTGTTGTGTTCAATTTATTCGGTATCCGCCGGAGACGGATCTCGCAAGTTCATAAAATTAAATCTAACATGATATTTGTTTTACCTAATGAGATAATTTGGCATTTAAGATTTCGCTTTAGTAAATTATACGAATTTGACATTATAACCATTGGTTAAAATAACTTTATGCTTATTCTGGACATGTTTACAGGTGTCGTATTCAATTCAGTGTCCTCTGGAAATCGGTATTTATGTTTGGATTTTTATTACAGTGCATTCTACGCATTGTGTCATAAAGAGCTACATCCATTTAATTAAAACAATTGTGAGTAGATATAAATGTTAAATTATTAAGTTTATCGGGTGGTAAACGTGCCTTATACTGCAAATGTGTCCTAAGGAAGCACAACCCTAATGCAGTTGCAGGTATTTATCGCTGATCCAGGACCTAGGACACAAAACGCGTTTTCAAATGTCTGACTTCTATAAATAAAACTAAATAAAGGTACCACCTGTGTTTATACCATGTGCAGATTTGATCTCCTATTGAAGATTTATGACTGAACAAGATCTCCAGTTATGCAAAAGGATTGCATACATCCCTAAAGGAATTTGTGGCAAATTTTACACACAGTTCAGGTGGCAGGGTGGCGCAGTGATTAGTGATAATTGCTACCGCATAGGGTTAAATTCCGGGAAGCTACACATGTGGTATTTGGGGTTACATCCCACAGTCAAAAAACTGCCCTGTGGTAGGCTGTATTTGAGGTCAATATTACACACAGTTCACCACAATGGGGGAAACATGATTGAGTAGTGTTTGAAACTGAGGGTATTGTAACACACGATACAGAACCATCATTCTGTTAGTGCAGTACATTCATCAAGAAGTATATCTATATGCAATAGATGCAGCTCTGTACTGATTTTTGTTCTGTTATTTTGTCATCTTTAAGATGGGGACAAATGTATAGATATATGATAAATCAGAGGTAATAATGTTTTGAAGAGGTTTAAAGATGTATTAATTTTTCCTGTTGTTTCTTAAGCACGTGTGTTGATTGTCTTTTTGAAAAGGTGAAGCAGATTGAGAAAAGAGACTCTGTGTTGACCCCAAAGCAACAGATTGAAAGGTTAACCAGACCAGGATCGTCCTATTTCAATCTCAACCCTTTTGAAGTAAGTACATCTCGTTGGATCTCAGATGCAAGGGTGTGCCTCTTCAGTACTGGGATGGGAGCCCTCAGAGGAAAGCCAAACTGGTGTTGATGGACCAGCAGGGTACGCTTTAGCTTCTGGAATATAATTTCTAAATCAGCACTCCAGTATGATAAGCAGGTGCCCTGTCTTCCAGGTGTGACATGAAATCGAGTTCTTTACCACTTGGTCATTAAGGATCCCTTTGCACTGTTCATAAGAGTTTGGATATTCTCCTGGTATCCTGTTAAATTTCATGCCTGTACTATATATACCTGAACTTTGTCCATATTTCAATTGATGAAGCAGTTTTTCCCTTTTTCACCTGATCTGCTCTGCAGCGGGGCTGCTGGACCAGAAGTGCTAGCTTGCATCAGCCAGATGGGACTTTGTTTCAATGTTGGATGAAGTGGGTCCTATATATAAAGCTCATTGAAATCCAGTGGTGTGGGAAATGTGTGTAGATATGAAAAGTTTAATGCAGATAAAACAATGATTAATATGTTCCTGATCTTGACTTGTGTGGAAGATGTATTTTGCGTGTACTGTGCCCAGAAGTACAGAAGAACATTTTCTTTTGATGTCTTTAAACTTTGTAATATCTATAACTGTGTATATTTTGTCTCAGGTTCTACAGCTTGATCCAGAAGTTACAGATGATGAAATAAAGAAGAGGTTTCGTCAGGTATGTTCAAATCCTTATTGCGCTCTTAGCATACTGCATAGTGTCCACAGACAACTGGAATTAAAAGTCATACTGCTATTCCATTTCAAGTGAACATTTGTAAATGCAAATTATTTTTGTGGGGGGTTATAATTTTATGGAGTTTTCTTTAAACAGTTCTGCAAAATGGAAATGTATTCAAAACTGCAGTGGGATTATACCAAACAGAAAATCATTTTTTAAAAGATAATAGTCACCAGTAATAATTCAGATAATAAATAAAAACTTGTTTTAATGGGTATAAATCATGTTTTGGCTCAACTTTCAGTAACATCATTTTATACCTTAATTACAGCTATCAATCCTGGTCCATCCTGATAAAAACCAAGATGATTCAGAAAGAGCACAAAAGGCATTTGAAGGTACAGTAAAGCACCTTGCTTCTGTATAATTCTACCTGAACATGTAAATCCTGCAGGGGACTTGCTAATTCCAGATGTCCCCACATTTTTTTTTCTTTTAAGTCCTTTATAGAGTAGCATGTCCCGAATCACAGGACTGTAGTGTCAGTGTAGAAATTCTGGGCTGAAGGGAAGAGTGCCTCTTACTGGTCTACAGGTACCTCATAGCAGCAACCTAGTTTGCCTAATAGTTTTTCCATCCCACTATTGACTAGGGCCAGGCTTGTTACATTTATTCATGGGCTCGCCGTCTGCAAATAGTTTTCGTTATTTGGCATTTTGTAGTCATTCAGTAAGTCTAGCAGTGATTGTTACTGTACTCGCAAGCTTTATTTATAATATCTGTATTGTGCTTTTTGTTGAAGAATTTAAACAGGGTTGTTTTCTTCTAATTTGAGCCTGACTGTTTTTAGGAAAAAGGCTTGGATGGTTTCTTTCTTGTTGTAAGCAATTTTCTAATTGCAAATTATATATATAATTGGGTCAACCTAGCTAATGGGATGAGTACAATTGATTCAGTCTTATTCATCATTATCATTATTATTTTCAGATTTTTACTTTTTTGGAAAACATTTCCACAATGCATTTAATCTGTTTACTTTTATTTTTGATAGGTTTTAGAGTTTGAAGTGTTATTTTAAACAACATAAATAGATTTGGCAGACCATGTTGGTCATCTGCTGTTTTCGTCTGTGGAAAGACCACAGCATGTGGCTCCCCACTCACATTGTGATGACCTCTGCTCTAGATCAACGGGTTCTATATGGTTACGTTTAAAAGCATCCTTCCAAAGATATTTGTTCATTAGGAAAGCAAATACATCTGTCTACAAAGAAAAGTCTGAGAATAACTAATCACATTGTTTTTCAGGCAAAGCTGTCTTACCTAATTAAACACACAAAATGAAGATGCATCTGCTGTACAGATCTGCTGGCTATATGAAGAAAACTGAAGATTTTGATATCATTTCTCTTTCATGGATTAATGAGAATAATCATATAATTCCTTGTCTCTTTAGCGGTTGATAAAGCCTACAAGTTGCTCTTGGATTCAGAGCAGAAGAAGCGGGCTATTGACGTGATCCATGCAGGAAAGGAGTATATCGAGCACACGGTGAGGTCCTAACACAAGCATTTAGTTCACCTCACACGCTTCTCTTTTTAACTGTTGTGTTCTACTATGTGAGCACAAACTTTGGGCAGTTTACTCATAAAACAAACGGGGAATTGTTCAGTTGTCTAGTCCAGGTAGTTCTCGATTTCAGTGCTCTTAACTCTTAATTTGCATGTTTTTAGTTTAATATGCCACAGGCATATATATATATGGTGCCTTGCAAAAGTATGCAGACCCTTGACCAATTCTCTCATTTTACTGAGTTACAAATCCTACATTGAAATGTTGTTCTCTGTGAGATGTTTATTTCAAAGCACTGAAACTCAAAATTATTTATATTATAAATTAATTATTTAATGTGACATTGTTTTATGTTTGAAAATATTCTTAAGAAAAATAAAAAAACTGAATTATGCTGTTTGCATAAGTATTCAATCCCCACATTTTAATATTTTGTAGAGCCACCTTTTGCAGCAATAACAGCTTTAAGTCTTTTGGGGTAAGTATGTACCAGCTTTGCACACTGTTTAGGAGTGATTTTGGCCCATTCTTCCAGGCAGATTTGCTCCAGGTTGTTCAGGTTAGTCGGATGCCGCGTGTGCGCCGCAATTTTCAAACAGTGCCACAGATTCTCAATTGGATTGAGATCAGGGCTTTGACTGGGCCATTGTAGGTCATTCACCTTTTTGTTCTTGAGCCACTCCAGTGTTACTTTAGCCTTGTGTTTGGGATCATTATCCTGCTGAAAGATTATCTTTCTCCCAAGTTTCAGTTTTTTTAGAAGCCTGAAACAGGTTTTCTTGCAGTATTTCCCTGTATTTTGCACCATCCATTGTTCTTTCTATTTTAACACGATGCTCAGTCCCTGCTGATGAAAAGCAGCCCCACAACTTGATGCTACCACCACCATACTTCACTGTAGATATGGTGTTTTCTGAGGTGTGGGCAGTGTTAGATTTGCACCACACATAGCGCCTTGAATTCTGGCTAAAAAACTCTATCTTGGTGTCATCTGACCACAAAATCTTTTCCCACATTGCAACTGGGTCACTATCATACTTTTTGGCAAACTCGACAAACTTCACATGGTTTTTTTTTTAATAATGGCTTCTTTTGTGCCACCCTCCCATACAGGCTAGTGTTAAGCAGAGCTCTTGAATATATAATTGACTGGTGCACCTTTACTCTACTCTCAGCTACTGAACTCTGTAGGTCCTTCAAAGTGATCATTGGGCTCTCTGTGGCTCTATGGTCTCCTTCTTGTTCGCGCACAGAGTTTTGAGGGAAAGCGTTTTTCAGGCAGTGTCTGGGTGGTTTGATGTAGCTTCCACTTCTTGATAAATGAACCAACAGTGCCCCCTGGGACATTCAAACACTTGGATATTGTTTTGTACCCTTTTCCTAATTTATGCATTTTTTTACTTTTTCTCTGACTTCTTTAGAAGGCTCTTTAGTCTTCATTTTCACAGCTGTCCTTCAGATTCACAACCTGAATAATGATCCCTTAACTGTGGGGGTTTTGTGCAGAAAATGTGGCAGTTATTTTAATGATTCCCAGGTAGAGGCCAATTGTAAGGCAGTTGTGTCCTCCTTAGGGCAATCGTTTTTCACCTGTGTAAATTCAGAGCCTCCGCAACACAGGGATTGAATACTTAATGCAAACAGCATATTTCAGTTTTTTTATTTTTCTTTCGAATATTTTCTAAGAAAACAATGTCACATTAAAATAATTAATTCTGAGTTTCAGTGCTTAGAAATACAAATATCACAGAGAACTAAATTTCAGTGTAGGATTTGTAATTCAGTAAAAATGAGAGAATTGGTCAAGGGTCTGAATACTTTTGCAAGACACTATATATCACTTTTGAGTTTAGGACACATTAGTTTTCAGTTTGATGCAGTTCAATGTGGCCAGCAAAAGACAGCTGGTCAGACGGTTCAAGGCTACACTTAACCACTCTACTCTTAAGTCAATAAAACCCTTCATTTAAGATACTGAGTGAAAACTCTTAAAAACAAAATTCAATATAAAGAATTTTTCAATAAAGCATTATTTTAAAAATATTAAAAAACAAAATATTAAACTTTTGCCATTGCAGCAGTTGATAATCATCTAGAAACCTACAGAAGGTTTTTCTTTTTTTTTCTTCGAATTTTTAGAAAAGAAGAAGGAAAAATATATTTGTACTGTTACTTATGAGACTTTTAAAGGAATGGCATTGAAAAGAGAGTAAAAGGACAGAAGATAGTTGCACAGTGCTGGTGCCTGTATGGGCAGGCGACTCAAGCATTTTCCTAACCGATCTCCTCTGAAAACAGAACCAATTGTCTTCTGTTCACATTTACATGAAACTGATAAACATTATAAACCAAAGTTTAAAAATGACTTTTATTACACCTGTATAATCGCCTTACATGGATAAATGGAATTGTCTTTATCTGGGATGTTAACCCTCTGGTTTGGGATAGATCTGGAGCACATGGCCCCTCTGTTGACTGTTTAATAATAATAATAACATCACTTTATTAACCCCTTACAATTTCTTGCATTAGGAATGTGTTTTTTCGCATACCCCAGCTTGCTCTCCATGAAACACAGACAGGGAGAGAAACTTGGGGTCAGAGCGCAGGGTCAGTCATTGTACAGTGCCCCTGGAGCAGTTGGGGCTCAGGGGCCCAACGGAGTAGGATTCCTCTGCCAGCTGTGGGATTTGAACTGGCAACCATCCAGTCAGAGGCACAGATCCTTGGCCACAGAGCCACCGCTCCGCCCCCGTTTTTTTACAAATGGCATGTAAATCACAAGCAACTTCTACTTTTCACCTAAGCAGACAGAACTTCAGTGGGGTTCTCTGTGCACAGGCTTCTAAACATCAGTTTACACATCTTTATGTTTTGCACAAGACTAAACCTCAGTTTATGCTTCTTGGCTGATTCCGCACAGTTTTCTTTGTGGGCTGCTGGAGATGCGTATTACTAGCTGGCAAGAAAATAAGCGATAGTTCCTTTCTCTTTTTAGATGGAAGCTACCTGTTTTATAAACCGCTCTGCAGTAAGAGTGTAAATGAATGCAGTCACTCTTAGTAAAAGTTATGAACAGCGGGCAAACCTTTAGCTGTGGAGATCGGGATGTCTTAGATGTTCCTAAGAATACTATAAGATTCTTTCACCAACCTGGAATACACTGAGATTGCCTATGAAAATGTCCTTGTAAACAACAGCTTATTCGAATGAACTCTTTTATTTCCCCCTGGACTGCGTTAGATGAAAGAGAAGAAGAAGCAGCTGAAGAAAGAAGGAAAGTCCACGATAGTCGAAGAGGACGATCCGGAAATGGTAAGACGCTGTGGGATGGCCAGACAGAAAAAGTTCAGCATTGACTTCCTTTTTGTTTTGTTTTTTATCTCATTTTAATGGTATTTAAAAATAAATAAATCCAATGTACATCTTTTACATGTCTTGCCCTGATCAATTGGTCAGTTCAGTAATGCTTCAGCTTGATGTTGTGTGACCCCTGTTAATTCTGGTGTTCTGTCTAAATTGCACTCTCATCTTACATAATCAGGCTTTTCCAGAAGTTCCCCTTTGATTTCAGTGGTGATACACTTTGTCACTTCTCCTAATGCCATGCGTAATGGGGCTGCTGTTGTGTAATGGCTGTTGTGTGTCACCCAGATGAGTGCTGCACTTCGGTTCCCACGCATACGTGTAAAGAGCTTTGGGGTAATGAGTGCTATACAAATACAAGAATCTATTATTGACCTGCTTGTTCTGCAAGCACTACAGGGTGAGGAGCTCAGTCAAAGCCTTTCAGGTTGTACTATTTCAGTACCTTATAATGCTGAAATGCATTCTGGTTAGGTCACCAGCCTGTCGACTGGCAAGGCATCTTTTAAAGCTGGTGGCAACCTGCATTCATGGCACAATTGACATCATGAGATTTGTTATTGGCAGTATAGAGTGTACTGCTGCATCAGCTGGATTTTGGTCATGTCTTCCTACCTAACCACTATTCTTACAAAGAGGGTCTCCTAATGCCTCCTGTTTTTCATGATTGGTGTATGATGAACTGAAATGGTAATTGTATCCTGGGGAAAATGGTTCAATAAGTCAGCCTGAAAAGGCATTGCTATCATGAAAAAGGGTGTGTAACAACAGGGTAAATGATGTTTTTTGTCTTCTGCAGTTCAGGCAAGCGGTGTACAAACAGACAATGAAACTTTTTGCAGAGCTGGAGATAAAGAGGAAGGAGAGGGAAGCCAAGGAAATGCATGAAAGGTAAATGAAGTTTCATGAGGGCAAACTGTTTAAAACAACAGTGAAAATCCTAGGAGCTGGGTCTTCCTTTTTAAAGCCAGATTTCCCTTCTGGGTTGTTTACTACGCTCCTAAAATATCAGTTCTGTGAAAGTAATGCAGTTGTTTCTTTTTTTAAAAATCCAGTTTATATTGAAATGTGTTCATAGTTCCAGATCATGACCCGTGAAAAACACAAAAATAAACCCCCTTTTGGTTCCTCTCTCTTACATTATTGTGACTGCTTTGCTCCTTTTTTCTGTGTTTTGCTTTTAAGGAAACGACAGCGGGAGGAGGAAATTGAGGCACAGGAGAAAGCTAAACGTGAAAGGGAGTGGAACAAAAACTTTGAGGTAGAGATTATTCTAATGTTCAGAGCTTGTTTCTTTTTGTGAGAGAGCTATATTGGTTAGCCTACACGAATAACCAGGCTACTGACGGAGCCACATGCCAATATAAATAAGGTATTTTCAAATCTGAAATTATAACTTTGTTAGTGTCTGTGTGGGACTACACCTGGGTCTGCTGCTTAAGTATGTTTTTATAAGGAGCTCCCAAGTTGCTCCCAGTAGAGACATGAGCACACTTGCACTGGCATCACTGAATTAATGTGCCTCTCCTCCAAATGATGCTACGATTTCCCGTCAGCAACTGCTGAGTTCACTTGCAGTGTGTCAATTGATGAGTGCATGTATCTGGCATGTCAGGACAACATACACACATTTTTTGTGTAGAAGTTATTGAGTCTCTTCGTCCTTTTGGACTCTCCAATTATTTCTATATATAGGTAACAAAAACCTTGCACTTCTAAAATTAGTCTGCATGTGCTGAAACTTTAGCCACTGAGGATGTTATTACTGGTAGTGCTTTTAGAAGTGCAGGGCAGTGTTCCATTTCACCAGCAGGTGGCATCTTCACTGTAACTATAGCTGGTGCTTGGGTTAAGTATTCAATTTAAACACTTTGTCATGTGTTGATTTGCTTACTAGAAAATAGCAGTTACAATAATTATTTCAAGATAAACTTGAAAATATCGCTTTTCAACCTATTCACCATTGTATGCTTCTTATGCAGTTCTTAATGTTTTAGCCACATCCACACAATATATACTCATCATGTACATCCACAGAATGAGATTTAGTATTTACAGGGAACAGTAAAGCCATGCATTCAGGGTATTGCCACATGCTGTCCCACTGATTTTTATTAATCAACAGATAACACTTTAAAGAAATTAAAACTTAATGTCAGTTAAAACTCAACATTCACCAAGTTCCCCTTTTCAGGCATTGCATTGATCTCATTCATAGCGTAGAGATATTGTGAAATATATTTAGTAAAACTCTGATGTATAGGTTCTCTGTTTTATGTAGGCTACATGCTTAGAAAGACCAGTTTTACCTGTTACATGAAATATGAATAGAGCCAATTGCTTATAAGAAAGAGGGCTTAGAATTTGCTGCATTCTGTTAAAAATGAGGAATGCTGCCACCTGTTTTTAATAGCAGAACACACTTGATACATGACTGCGCTCGTCTGTTAACTTCATGTATCCCCTGTGCAAAATTATTCCCCATTCTGTTCATAATTTACTGGAAGTGGATAATAAAAGGAAACACTTTGGTAAATGAAGGACACCATGTTTACTCACAGAAAGGGCTTCTTCACAGTTGTGGGTTGTTAATTAAACTAACCTCCAAGTATGCTAGGGCGCATGTATAAACATGCTGGACAGACCTGTTTTCCCATGATTTCAGCAAGCATGGCTACAACAGGAGACTTTAGTGACTTTGAAAGATGAATGCTGAAACAGGTTGGGCAGGAACATCAGTGGCCAAGAGTGCTAAGCTTACTTATGTTTCAGGAGTAGTAGTGTCTAAGGTGATATCAGTATAGCCGTAACCCAGACATTGCTCATCACTCCAGCCCTGTATGTTTGCCAGGCGTTGGATATTTGACTATCTTGTAGGGAAAATGCCACTGCTCCATTCTTAAAGAATTCCAGAATTTTAGATGTGGTGGACATTATTCCAAAGTGCATACTGGCCACACATGGTGGCCCAGCACCCCGTTAAGTGACTTCACATTGGTGTTTCCATTTTTTTTGTCCATTACCTTTATATGTGGACTAGAATACACAATACTGATTGTGGACCACATAAGCCACCAAACCAGTTCCTAATTACTAAAACCACACACAGTCCTTTTCCTGTCGTGAGCTACACACTGTGACTAACATTCTCCAGGTTATCATCCTTGTCTGTTTTCTTTCAGTGACAATTTAGTCACACAGTTTTTAAGTAAAGGAATATTACTAACTTTCCAGATTCTGGTAACTTTTTGACAGCTTATATGTAGGGCAGCAACAAACGAATATTTTGATAATCGATTATTCAGGCGAATATTACACTGATTAATTGATTAATCGGCTCAGCTGAAAATTGTCGTGTAAATGAGAAAGGCTGTGACAAATAGTTTGGCATTGTTCAGTAGCCATATACCTTAATTCAATTAAATAATGAGAAACAAAGCCTTGAAAAAGTTTCAACTTAACTACATTAACATCGTCTTACCTCTTCAAACTGCATTGTCTTTCACTTTTAAATTTCAGGATTTTTTGTATTTTGAAAATACAATTCAAAATGTTAAATATAAAAATGAAATAAACCGGATTCAAATAAGTTCAAAGTTCAAAGTAAACTTCATATAAGTCACTTGAAATCAAACTGAACTGAGAACAACAGCAAGTAAATGTTTTGGTTGACTGTAAGATTTGCTAATATGAGCTGCGGTGAAGAACATTGATAAGTAAACGTAGATTGTATCTCTCTCGGCTGCAGTATCATTTAACAAGGTTAACACTGTAGTCTATTCTGATCGTATTTTTATTACACGAGATGAGCTATATATGACGGTAGTTCACAAGACGAGCTATGTATGAATAAGTTTACAGGACGAGCTGCTGATTGTTAAATAATTTTTTGAAGTAGTCCATATTTATTTCTGATAGGATGACAAGCTTTATCTCTTTACTTGTACAGTTCTTTGAAAAGACTACTATCCATATGGTGAGACTTAAGCAAACTGAAAATATGCTGTAATAATAATATTAAAATAATGTGCAATAGCATATTAAGTTGAACTGCAACCCTGCTAACTTTAGGCTAATAGACAAATAAGTGGGAGCTTGTGGTATTTCGCCATTGCTAAATACTTCAGTTTGTCAGAACACCACCCACGCCACCGAACACAAAGCTTTTGCTTAAGCATGCACGTTGTACTGCCATAGAATGCTAAATAAACCTTGTATATTCTGCATGTTACGGTTTTACCTTTTCTTTTAAGAAAATGTTTTCACACTTTGCTTCTTTTTGAACTTTCCGCCATGAAATGTTTTTTCGACACATTTTTTCTGCCATAGTTATATGTGATGTAACTTAAAGATGACACACTTACTGCTTTTCTTAATTGTCATCTGTCTTACATCCTGTATCCCAGAAATGTTACAAACAGGGTCTGCTGTTACACCACAGGCTGAGTCAGGACACTCACTGTCCTGCTCGGTGTTCTTCAGCCCTGGAGGTACCAGTCTTGATTTGTCGCACCACTTTGGAAATCCCCGATGTCCTAAGAGTCTTAACAGATATTTTTAATAGACTAGTCACAAGTGTGTTTTTCAAAAATTCTAGAATCAGGAAACTTAATTCTGGAAAAACAAAGTGTGAAAAACTGTTTCTAGTTTTGGCTGTTGTGAAATTCAGACTTTCCTGGACTAGCTGTGCAGATAAAAAGTTTTTTTTTAAATAAATTAGTAGTAGAAATTTGCAACACTGCCTAAAACTTCCCTTAGAGGAAGAATGTGGTATGAGTGTATATGATTTAAAAAAAAGTCAAGAAGAGGGATAGAGAGAATGTGTTCTTAGTAATGCTAAAACAGGAAGTATTTTGTGTGCAATTAAGCAGAAATGAAACTTTAATTTAGTCAAGCGTGAGTGTATGAGATTCAGAATGCAATCCTGTTTTTTGATTTGATATAAAGCAGAAAATGGTGAAAAATGCAATTTGAGTTTAGGTGAATTAAATAAAAGCTGATGTCTCTTTTATGGGCTTCAGCATCATAAAGAGTCTTTTCCTACTATGCCCTTATCATTTGAGTCTTATAGCTGGAGTGCATCGCGACAAAGAAAAGTGGTCCCTAACAAACGTAATTCTGTTCTGTGCGTCCTAAAATCTGTCCTCAGCAGCACTGCTCTACACACACAAATGTTATTGAAGTGTTGGTCCATGTGACGTACTAAAGTTTCAATGTCTAGTTTCTCTATTGCTTTTGCTAAATTTACATAGGCTTTGTTCAAGTGTTAATTTAATTTTGCTTTTGAAAAATGCCAGCAGATTTCTCTTTGCTGGCTCAGAATGAAGGGATGTGGTTATATATTTTGACAGTATGTCTCAAAGATAAGGGTCGTTCTTTAAAAGAGAAAAACATGTTGATATCAGATCTGTGGTATTCGACTATTTTCTTGTGTGAATCAGAAGTTGCAACCTGAGAACATCTTGCAGCATGTAATATCTGCATTCTTGCAGAATTGAGATTTACAGTCATAAGAGGGGTGTGTTCATTTGTGTTTGTGATGGTATTATTTTATTTTAATAATTTGATTTGTAAGACTGGCTTGTTAGTGTCAGAATTGTCAGGGAGATCTGTGCTGGGATAAACTGTCCAGCTGCACACTTTCAGACTCCTCCGTACACACAATTAGAAAAGTTGTGAGGAGAAATCAAACCAAGTTAAAGTAGCAGCCATGACCATTTTGAGAAACCTAAAATGCACAGATTGATCAGAAACAGGTAATTCCAGGAGTTATCCAGTTCGCAGGTGTCTCTAATGAATTTAAAAAGGTCTCGTTGTTGCTGCCACATATTGCCTCTAATATAAATATACATTAACACATACACATGTGTACCAGGAAACCAGAGATGGGCGTGTCGACAGCTGGCGGAACTTCCAAGCAAAAGGCAAGACTAAGAAAGAGAAGAAGAACCGATCATTTCTCAAGCCCCCTAAAGTGAAAATGGAGCAGCGATAAGCAGAATATTGGTATGCTGTGCAGAAGATTGGGGGTTCCAGGCTCCGATTCCTGGAAAGCCCACTGTATCTAAACCAGTACCACCTTGGACAGCGTCATCTCTAAAATGTGTTGTATTTCACTTTTTTAAAATATATATAAAAGATCTGACCCTTGAACTCCACACTGGACAAGTTAGACTGTATTCTGCATTTGGAATTTTTTGGTCTTCACTTGCAATCTTGATTTTATAGAACTATGGTTTTTTGTTCAGCTGTAAATAAAACAGAATTTGGAAGTGTGAACTTCAATTATCTTCAATTATCAATTATTGCTTCAATTATCTTTTTTTTTTATTTAGTTCCTTTTTTGCTCTCAATATCTACACACAAAAATACTTTGGTAAAACTTTGAACGTACTAATTTCCATTACAATTTAAATTAAGATCTGCAGCTTCTCTAAAAGTCAATGGAAGATTCATTCATATATGGGTATTCTGGACAATAGTACTTACAGTATATTCACTACTTGTGAATCTAAGCAATGGAACACAAAAAAACAAGATTTCTAACAATAGAAGCAAATGACTAATACAGCAAGAGGCTAAATGCAAAATGTTTAGCCATATGTTTTGTTTATATAGGACAATTCTGAGCTCTTGAGTAATCTGGATATCTGGTTATGATGATATTGAAATGCTTCTTGGAATGTGTCTTTAATAATAGCAAAACAGGAAATGTTTTCTGTGTGTAATTAAGTAGGAATAATAAATAAAAGTTTAATTGAGTAGATGAAGCGATAAGCTTGTGTTTTCACACAAGAAACATGAGATTCAGAATGCCATTCTGTTTTTTGCTTTGAAGATAAAATAAAAATACTGTAAACATTGGTACAGCTCATTTTAATTAGTCCGTTAAAAACAAATGCCCCAGTAGTAATCCATTACTGTTGTGTTCATTCAGTTCTGTATTTTGTCAGTACTGAGAATCCACATACATTTTTTTTTGTCTGGTCTTTAGTTGGTTTCCTCTGTTTCCATGTTGCTCCTTCAGTGGGAATGTCTTGTTTCTCATTAAAAAAGTGTGAAATTAGGAAATGAGACCATTTCACATCTGTAGATCATCAGATTTTTAGTTTTGTAATACCAGTCATTGCAGCACACTGTTACATTGTATCTTGCTGTACTGGGTGTGTTACAGGATCTTGTTTTATTGTTTTTTTTGTATTGTAATATTGGCACGGGACTCTGTATCACCAATTAAAGCAAGTGTTGGAAATGTCCCTTACATAAAGTGGCTGTGCTGTTTCATATTACAGGAGATTTTTACAAAATGTATCCAACCGATTTATGTCATTTTGAGTCACATTCCTCCTTTTCTTGAATCTTCCAGGTTCAAAATGAAATCCCTCTACTACTGCTGTTTTTCACACCAAGAGAAAAAACTAAGGCTGAAGCAGCAGGCCTGTCTTCCAGTCTGTTCTAGTATGATCTTTTTTCTGTCATTACTGTAAAAAAACCTTGAATTCAAGATGAAAGAACTTGGTTGTGTGTTCTTAGGCTGATTGCATTGAAAACCTGTGTGTGGTGTGACTGTGATGCTTTGAGTTCAAAGTGGTTAAAGGGTTTTTGTGTGGTTCGCCAACAGTGTGTCTGGGAGCTCCTGTTTGCATGGTGAAAATGTGGCTTTGTCCATGAAGAACCACTGAGAACCCCTCACCCTTGCATAGGGTTCTAGAAAAACCTGATTGTCAAAAGTTGTGCAATTGTCCATGTACTACACAAGCCCTGCTGCTTGGTAGCCTGCTTAGTTTGAGTAACCTCTGTCCTCCGACCTGAGGTCATCTCAAGAGGAGCTTTAGAACTCATTCATTTCAGTAATGACCTTATTTGGACTTATTACTTGGAGACTATATGTTAGTCATCCTAGGAGTGATCTATCTTATCTATTAGGAATCATGCCTTTGCTGTAAATCCTTTTACAACTGGATGCATCATGTTTTTATAGTGGGTTGTATTCTTATTTATGTTATTAAGGGTTGAGGAAATTAGTGTACCGCTAAATTTCTATTTGAAATGATTTGTATGTACTAAAGTAGTTATTCTCTTTACAAACCCTCTTCAGTAGCCCCCTGTGCTTAGTTTTTTTGTTAAGAAGTATGAATTTTAAGAGAACGTCTTTCCATAAAGACTTCAAAACAGTTCTTTATCCATTAACACAACTTTTTCAGCTAGGCTTTAAAAGATAAGGCGATGGGACTCTGAATAAATTTGTAACCGCTGTTAACACCTATAGCTGCATTAGATGAATAATACATTGAAAAAACAGTTAATTTTGTACCCGGGCCATTCTACCATGAACTTTTAGGCATTTGTTCACCTGTGACAATCAGACATGATCTATGAATCCATGAATAATTAAAGTACTTTGGTTGGTTGAAGCACCAAACACCTTTCACACACAGGATGGATGAAAAGAAAGAATCTTAACTTTTCTGGGGACATTTATATCCTTATCTTAGGATATGACAGTTTTTGTTTGAATTTTTAAAATTGTAGTTGAATAAAATCCTTAAGGATAGACAGAGAAAGGTCAAAGCCAGATCCATTTATATTTCCCAACAAAAATTGTTTTGCTCATTCTACCTCTGCTGAGAATTTCCTGTTCAGAAAAATTCTGAACAGGAATTTCATGTTTTGCCTTGCTTTGGTCGGGTCCCTCTTTCCAAGGAGTGTGGTTTTGGCATACAGTTTCCAGACTTCTGTGCATACTTGTCTGTATGTGTGTGTTTATACTATATGTGTATACATATGGAGCTGAGAGAGCTCGATGGTCTAAATCACTGTCTTGTAAGCAAAAATGCTTACAGGAGCACAGGTTCAAATCCCACCTCTGTCTTTTGGGCAGCACTATGGTGCAGTGGTGAGCGTTGCTGCCTTGTAGTGCTAGGGCCCTGGGATCAATTCCAGGGGTGCTATCTGTGTGGAGTCTGCATGTCCAAAGGCATGCTGGCAGGTAAATGAGCTTCTGTTAAACTGGCCCTGGTGTGAGTGTGTGCATGTCTGTATCGCTGTGTGCCCTGCGATAGACTGGCGTCCCACCAACGATGTATCCCAAGGCTTCAGGCCACGTGACCCTGAATTGGATGAGCGACGGTTGAAAGTGATGGTAACAGTGAAGACATTGTATACATGTAATACTTTGAAACACAAAGCAAGTATCCATGTATATAGTATATATTCCTGCACTGACCAAAATACTTACACAAACCATATACTTTGTTGATCCTGTGCAAACAGCAGCAGAGATTCAGCATGACATGTCACTGCATCCTAGTCCTAGTAGGATCAACATCAGCTGAAGCTCTGATGCCAGGGATTGTGGAATGAAGGGTTGACCTGTATGTTCTCCAGCTTCCTCAATTGAGGCTTTGCGTTTTTCTTACTCCAGAAAGGAGATGGAAGCTAAACATGCGTTGCCTGCCATATTTTGTCACATGAGTCCACACACTCACATAGATTTGGTTAATGACCAACATTTGCAAAACACCTGTTAATTTAGAACGTAACATTCTGTTGATAAAGAAATTCTATATTCCTGAATTAAAAATATAGAAATAAGAATTTATTGATTCAGATGATGTGATCCTTCTTCAGTGGTTTGCCATGATGACCTTACTTAGCTAAAAACAGGAAACAGAGGAACTTCCTTCCTCTGTGACCTGTAAACCTGGACTTTCCCTGTGATTTGGAATTTCTCCTTATAACTAGAATAAATGAGCTCTTTTACGGCGTGTTTAGCATCACTGATAATGCGGTCACGTGGTCCTACACAGTCACGGTCAAATAAGCATTGCAGTTCTCTCAGGTCTCAGTTACCACTGTTCAATAAATGAGCTCTTTTATATCACGTTTGGCATCATTGATAATGCTGTCATGTGGTCCTGCACAGTCAAATAAGCGTTGCAGCTCTCTCAGGCCTCAGTTACCAATGACAGTTTGATGCTTCTCCTAAAATGCCCTTTCCATATTTTTTTTTGTGTCACCTGTTCCTTGTTTTGATATGATGTTTTGCAGTTTTCATTCTATGAAGTCCCCTCGTAATCAGAAATGGATTACGAATGAAATGGAGGGGGTTTTTCTGTAGTTTAAAATCAAAGTTCATCTAAAAGGAGCTTACGGCCCTGCACAGCAGACATGTAAATTGCATTGAAGTTACACATTAAACTTTTATTTGCAAATACAGAATTTATAAAGGTAGGAAGGTGTGGTAAGGATAAAACCCTTTCCCGTAAGTGCCAACTCCTTACACCTGGAAATAGCAGTTACATTGTGTCTAGCAGAAATTATTAACTGTTGGGGGTTTAGGCTAGACCTACACCTTGGTCCGTTCCACAACAACACATTGAAGGAAATGTAGACTAATGCTGTGTGAAAAAAACACAGGTGTGCTGAGGAACATAAGGACATCTTCAGGCAGGAGAAGAGTGTTTTTGCCCCATCAATTTTATTGTCCAAGTATCTTTCAAGACTCCTTTGAAACTTTCACAGTGTCAGAAAGGTTACAAACGAGAGGAGGCCATATGGACAGTCTAGATCTGTCTTTCAGTTAGTAGGTAACCGACCCAATGATATCATCCACCCATTTCTTGAAAGATGGATATCATGGCTGGCTAGCTTGTTCTATGCTCCCACAACCTTTTGGGTAAAGATGTGCCTTCTGTGCCTTCTTGGATTCAAATGCACTTCCATGTAGTGTAACTTATGCCACCTGGTTTGTGTTTCAGTGTTCATTCTGATTTAAGCATTTTGAATGTTGTTTTCTCTGTTCATGACTCAGTTCAGTTCCTTCAGTCTGTCAGCTTAGACCATTCCCTTAGGCCCCAGAATATGACCGAGTGCTCTTCTCTGGACCAATTCCAGAACAATATATTTCTCTAATGAGAAAGGAGTCTATTTGCCATATGTACAGTACGTGTGCATTGGGATTCTTATTCATGCCATTCTTTTGGGAAATGCACGGTTCAGTAGACAACAACACACAATGTGCACCGTACATTACAAAACAGGAAATAATAAATAATGACAGTCACACCCAACCATAATTCACTACATAGCACAAAAACACACAACGTGTAGTACAGAACAGTACACACACAGGACAATTGATATGTTGTAGCCAAATAAAATGCAGAGTGCAGAGGAGCATTGAATTCTGAAGCATTACAGCAGTTAGCTGTTCACCGTGTGCACTGCTAGGGTAGAAGCTATTGTTATTCCTAGAATTGGTGGGGGTGGCTTAGTAAAATATCTTTCTTAAAAGAATGAGAGGAAATAAGAAGGCAAAAGAAGATCTTGGGTGGTGGAGGTCTCAGTCCACAGTCAGCTGCAGATGGTTTCTCAGTGAAATGATGGTGACCAAGTGCTAGTTTACTTCCCTGTAACACTCTCGCCCTGTAACACCAAGACAGAGATAACAGTGAGCAAATGTATGGTATACGTTGCAGAGGATAATCTTTACAGTAACAGGATACATAAGAAAGGAGTTTAAAAAAATACAAACCGGTGTGTCATAAATCTTTATTTACATTCAAGTTGGAACATTTCTAAATATTAAACACGAGCTGTAACCTCCTGGCTGTGCCTGTTTTTTTTTTGTTTAAAGGCAGCTAGAATGTACATTCTGGAAACAAACAGACAATCTTCCCAGGGACTGACTTAATTTCCGTCAGGACAGCTCTTGCAGTGATCTCGAGGATTTTAAAGTTCTATTTGTAATTATTTACCGGTACCGTTTTGAATGCAATTATTGTGGGGCTTTTAACCTTCGCCTTGGAGGTACTACTTGCCTGTGAAGTGGGGACAGGGAACCCTGGTCTCACAAACATGACTTCCATCTTCAAGAAATTCAACACTCATCCTTTCCAGTCTTCACCTCCTTTGAGGCTTGTCAGAACAGGCCCTGGATGAGGTTTAGCTGGGCTGTCTCAAACCTTGTCAGACTCCCTGAAAAACAAGCGTGGGCTATAAAGAATGAATCAAGGATTAATGGAGGTAAGAACACAGTACTATTTATTGTGTGTGTTGTACATGTGGTTTTGTTAAAAAAAAAACTATAAATAGGCTGTATCATTGTTTTTGAAATAATTTGTTCTTCTTTACTATTGCGTATCGTTAAAAGCACTTCTAGTTTGCAGAATTTCCTTTGCAGATTTCTTAGTTTGGACTTGTAAACCATATTTAATTGTCAGATTCATGTGAATTCCTGTCTTGCCGATCAGTTGCTCCACTACAGAAAATTTAAATACCAAAAAAAGAGTGGACCACAGACGTAGCGTGTTCTGTGTTCTTTTGAAACGGAGCCAGGAAATGAATCACACTGTGAGATACTCCTTTCAGCTGAGCAAAGTTCACATTTGCCATACGTTGATACGACACGATGGATCAAGGAAGACAATCTTCAGAGACTTTGTTTTGCTCGATCATCACTAGGTGCCCCATCCAAGCAAGAGAAAGCAAGGAATAGAAGCAGAACTCTTTCTTTGAGGAAGCTCATTCCTTTTACATGGTGAGTATATTTCTTTACACAGTAGCTGGTTTGTGTTGCTGGAAAAAGATCTGAACAGGTAGCTGTGAAGAGCAGATTTGTTTTTCTCAATAAATCAAGACTAGATTCAGGAGGACCACATCATGCTGTTCAATTGAAGGATACACACAGTGGGAATTCTGCCTATCAATTTTAATTTTTTTAATGCTTATATTCTGCATTTGACATTATACATTTGGATAATGTTTAGCAGTGTCAGGTAGAATCAATAAATTTGAAAATGGGGAGGTACTAAATAAAGCTAAACATAGACGATATAGCAGGAGCTATAGCTGTAACAAAACAGAATTGAGACCACTTTCTTTTGATGTATACATAAGAATTTCTGTTAAATATGCAGCCTGGCTGTTGATCTGCAGATACACTTGCAGGTAAGTCTCAAGATTGCTTTCTCATTGGCAGCGCTCAGTAAATCTTTAAATAATCTTCAAAGACATTTTATGCTGTTGAGATGTTATCAGAAAGCTCTGCAGAAGCCTGTATGATCTTTCATACAAAGAGGGCTTTCAGTTTTGTAAAGTATTACTTATCATTTTCAATTATTGCTATGAATTAATTTATGACTTAACTTGGTAGGTTATTAAATACTGTAAGTATATCGAAATATATTTTTCTGTTTTGGGATTGTATGTAACTTTTGACTAGTTTGTACTTTGCTAAGTTTACTTCATTAGCTTCTTGGCAAGTACCAGTATAGAATGGAGCCAAGTTTCTTAATGCACAAGATAAGTGCAAGATTAAATTGCATTATGAAGATGTTTTTATCCCAAAGGCTTGCAAATCTCTTTCCACATTTGAGGGGATAAACTTCCAAAATCCAACACTGAAATGCAGCTCCCAACAAGGTGACACCCAGCACCCATTCTGTGCCAGCCACCCCACTACACAGCAGAACATGCACAGGAGTGAGAAATTGCCCAGTAATTAAATTAAAAGAGGAACGTTACATTGGCCAAATTATCCAAGCCAAAGGGAGAATTTTACCAAAACACTGAGGTTAATATCTCCATTCTTACTGACAGTGCTATGAGATATTTAATAACCAGTTATTCAGGACCTCAGTTTGATGTCTCATCTGAAGGATATTTTCTTCTAAAGACCAGTTTCCCCTGTGACCATACTGGGTCATAAGCTTGGGAATTCTGGTTTACAGGCAAGAGCGCCACCTATTGGTTCACCAACACCACTTACTGCAGGACCCAGGCTTTCATCCCAGGTCCTGATCTGCCCTGTCTTGCTTAGCTTCTGCGATTTTAAGTGTGCAGGTTAGAAGATAGTGATGCTGCTGTCCTAATGACATTTAAATTTACATTGTGTTTACAGAATTGTCATTTCAACAGGTGATGTTCTGTACTTTTTTTTCTCAGAGGAAAGAAAAGAGATCCAGAGGGCTGTAGATACGCTGTAGTTTTAATTATATGTGTTTGGGCAATCTTCTGGAGAAATCACCTTTTGTTCTTTCTGGGTGGGTGACCAGTCCAGTTCTTAGAGAAAAGCTTTGCATTTCTTTGAATTGTTAATGACTCGTGGGGCAATTCCTTTATTACAGATTCCTTCTCATGATTGGCCTTAGGCTAATTTGCGCAAGCCTCCTCTGCCTGAGCATTAATTTAAATGCTCTCTGTCTCATTAGAGCAAAGGAGAGGGTTTGTAAGCTTGTAGGGGACATTTGTGCTTGAAACATCCTACAGTGAGCTTAGTCTTTTTTACTCACTTGTCTAATTACTAAACTTAAATGAAAGAAAAAATGTGCAATAAACTGAAATTGTGAAGGGTGCTTTAGTGAGAGTATATTTAGTGAACATTATGTGCTGTGACTTGCAGTTACGCCACATGAAGCATTTCCTTGGTTGCATCACTTTGCACTTGTGCTTTTTCAGATTGGCACAGAATGTAAAGTTCAGTTGAACAAGCGAAGAGGAGCATTTTCACTGCAGCTTTTGCTCGTTGTGTTCTTTCTGTTGCTCATTTCCTATATTTAAAATTGTGTGTGTTATTTTATTCAGGAACCAGCAGCGAAGGAGAACATTTCTTCAGGAAACATGTCCACCAATTTGTCAAATCCGGTGGACTCGAGTTTCAGGTACACTCTCTTCCCGATCTTCTACAGCCTGGTGTTTTTTATGGGACTGATATGCAACTCCTATGTGCTTTGGGTTTTCAATAAAATGCACCAATCCAGGGGGATGAATGAGATCAAGATCTATATGATTAACCTTGTCGTGGCGGACTTGCTGTTTGTGGCTGCTCTCCCACTCTGGATTGTTTATTACCATAAAAATGGCAACTGGATATTTCCGGAGTTCCTGTGCACCCTTTCAGGCACCATGTTCTTTATCAACACCTACTGTTCCATTGCTTTCTTGGCGGTCATCAGCTTCAATCGCTACCGAGCCGTAACAAGGCCTCTGGAAGCTGCCAGCTCAGACCAGCGGAAACGAGGCATCATAGTGTCCGGGATCATATGGGTCTTAAATCTGTGCTGTGCTGGTCCGTATTTGTTCGATACACACGTCCACAAGATCGACGAAGATTATTACCGGTGCTACGAGGGCTACAATAAGACAGACTATGAAGCAAATAAGAAGGTGGCCACAATTCATTTCCTGATCATTGCCTTGTTTTTCTTCATTTTCCTCCTGGTTATTATTTGCAACCTCCTTATCATCCGGACACTCTTATCCCAGCCGGTGCCACAGCAGAACAGCCGGAAGACAGGGGTCAAGCAGCGAGCCCTGTGGATGGTGTGCGCCGTGCTGGGAGTCTTCATCATCTGCTTCGTCCCCCACCACATTATCCAAGGCCCCTGGACTTTGGCCATCTTGAATCTTTGGACGACATCGCAGGATGTAAAACAGCGCTTGAACGATGCCCACCAAATCACCCTCTGCCTCATGGGTCTCAACTGCCTTCTCGATCCCATTGTCTACTGCTTTGCTACGCGGAAATTCAAGATCCACCTCATGATGCGCCTCAAGATGTTCAAGGAAAGCCGGAAGTGCTCCAGGTACACCAGCGACATGGGCGTTTCCATGGAATTACAGCCCCACAACCACCCCGTGGAACCAAATGAGACGCCCTTAGCATAGAGGCTAGCAGCTCCCTGACATCTAATTTTCTTCCCAAAGCATCGAGCACTGACTTAGCTGAGGTTCCCTGAGAATTTTCCACCATTAACCAAGAGACAGCACAAGAAAGTCACTGGAATAAAATGTTTTTCCTGAACCAAGTTTGAGTGACAAGTGGATGGAAGTTACAAAACTGCCGGTCGAAAGGAATTTCAAGCTCACTATGGGACACAAAGGAACACGCCCGCTCTTCCTGATGCAAGACAGAGAAACAGATATTAGCGTCTTTGGGGAGCAAACTCAGGTTTATGAAGTCAATCAGCAGGAAAGTCTTTGAGGAAAATTTTGAGAGCAAGGATGTCATGTATATCAAACAAAAAAATGCCATTGTAGTAACTGTAGAATCGGCATCAGAAATTTTTCACAGCAGAGAATTCAGCTTCTGCGGTTTAAGTTTTTTTAGAACATTTGGAAAGAACTTGAGATATCTGAGCTTTATATTCATTTAAAATTAATATCAGAGCTTGGAATTCTGAATTATTATGTAGTCAATAACATACATTAACCTCTTGTCTAACTGATTAATTTGTAACTCATGGTAGATCTGGAGTGACAGAAACCTTAATTCTATGTATTTCTTACATAAACTGACATGAGATACAGCGTTACATTTAGAGTATTGCGACAAGTGGAAAATGTTATTTTATTTTAAAAGGGGGGGATTACAAACATTAACTGATTTGTTAATGTAATGAAATAATGAAGGAAGAGTGAGTATGTTTATTCACAGCGATTTTTAGTATTTAAAAGTGCAGATCACTCTCAGGAATGATTAATTTACTTGAATGTGAAAATATTAAAAACTATCATGCTTTTAAAATATTTTAAAATATAAAAATTCTTCTGAATTAAATTTACAGCACAGCAGTCCTATGAGAACTCAAGCTGGCCTTCGAGTGCTTTGTTTTCAGAACTGTTTTAAAAATGATGCTTTTGTTTTGTTTTAAGCAAAGTGTTTTAACAAATTGCTTTACTACAGATGTACATTTGTAAAATTAGATCTAAAAATAAGCACATTTGTAATATACCCTGTTTGTTACAAAACAGTTACATGCTAGCTTTTTTAGTTTTTTAGTTTTTAGAAAAAAGGGGTAATTCTACATACATTGCAAGTTAAAATAAGTCTGCTTTAGCCTCCCTTATCAAGAGCTTTAACTGTGATAGTTTTAATCTGTTTTCACAAAATCATAAATAGATAATAATTCTTAAATTTTTTCAGAAATATTACAGTTTTTTTGAGCAAATGCAACACTTACGTGACTACTGTGCTTTTTATGGAGTATTCTTAAAGCAATTCCATATTTGTTTTTTGTTTAGCTGAGCAATGTGTCAGAAGGGTTATGCTTTTATTATGAGTGGTTTGAAAAACTGGTTTTGTAACCCATGTAATGAATAATTAATTAGAGGGTAATTCTTGTACACTGTTTGCAAAGAATTCCTATAGGGTCTGGTTTTAATTAGTTGTGGGGACAAAATATTTAAAATATTTAAGTGGAGCTCAAAAGAAAGTGACTTTGCAATTTCACCAGAAAGCCTGAAAATGTTTTCTGCCTGATGTCTGAAGAATCTGAAGTAAGAAAATGAATTTTCCCTTGTATCTTGTATCTTGTATCTTGTATTGAAGTCATCTTGACATGCAACTTTTTTGGGCCAGTGGGCTAAACATCAAATTCAGCAGTCCAGGAGTTTCCAAACTCAGCTGAAAGAGATCATCCTGCTGTATGCAACATTGGAAAGACAATGGGAAGGGTTTGGGATTTGTTCTGGCTGAATTATACTATTATATGAATTCTGTTTGTGCAAATATTTTAAAGATATTTTAAAAAATTAAGCCATCTAGAAGAACAGCTGAGAAGCAGAGGATCAATTTTTTTATCTACTAGATATATCAGTGTTGAAAGAAAAAGTAATATCATTGTTAAAGGATTTTTTGGTAACTCATGGTTTGATTGCATACCAAGTGTCTGCGTGTTATAAACCTGTTTGAGATGGACATTGTTTAAATGTGAAGATCACCTGAAAGCTATTGTAACAATATGAAATGAAGAGGGTAACACCTCCTTACTGTGATCCGATCATCTTTGTTCCCTGCAATTAGAACAATTTCTTTATCTAATATGTTTACAGAAACGTTAAAGAAACTAATTACTTCAGTGTAGTACATGATTGAGCTATTATAATTAAATCAGATGTATGTATATAGCTGACACTTCATTAACTGAAGGATACCTGAAATTGTTGAGCTGAATGAGCCTTTTTGTTATGTGTTGTATTTGGTACGTTACTGTATTTTTACTTACCATGTTAAATATGCATTTTTGGTACAATGAGTTTGAGTATTGTTTTTCAAAATAAAAAATACCATATAAAATTAAGAAACTGTATCTCTTAATGGATGTGTGCCTGGTTTTGACATTGGTATAATCCTAAATTACTTGTGATCATGTGTACTTCTCAATGTTAACAAGGGGTTGAGAGTGCTGTAACTAAATTTTACTTATACCAGTTTTTTAGGTCATAAAACAAATCCAGCATGCCAATGGTGTACTGCTCCAACAGAGTGAGTGTGAATCGGAGCTCCAAAGTGTGAAAATTGCTCAAAGTTCTGGTTTTGGTTGCCAATGACGTATCTAACACTGAAAACAAACGTGCAGTTTAACAATGTTTGTTTGTGATGGGAAGTTTGCAAACACCAAATATATTAGCCCTTGAACTGAGGACATAAAAGGGGAAACAGTCAGCCATTTTGGTAAATGTTTGCTCATGTGTTATGGCAACAGGTTACTTTTCAATGTAAATAGTACATGTTGCATTTATGCTTTTTTTGCTGCATTTCCTTGGTTACTGAAACCCTTTTCTCTTAGTTGGATCACAGTACAACTAAAAAACATTAATGTAAATGTACAATACTACCCGTTTTGCTCATTTAGATGCTTACAACTTGTTTATCTGAAATATAGCTGAAGTTGTTCATTACACTATAAAAAAGTCAGTACTGTGCTGAATTAAAAAGAGAAGCCAGAACATTTCCTTAGCAGTCATTAGTCACTAAATATCAATCTCAAACCTACAGCACATACAGTAGAAGACCTCATCTGGATTTAAACCGAGATGAAGGCTAGCTTATTGCAGCAATGATCTTGTGCAGCCATTTCCTGAATTTTCTCTTGGAATTGGCTTCAAAATCATTGCAGGGCAGTTTGTTCCAGACCCTTCCAGAACACACAAAGACAAGTAAAAAGGGGAGCTGTAATTTTATCAGCTGAATGCCAGGGAGCTGGATGTCTGCCTCTTCAGAAATACAGGGAGGAGAGCTGCCTTAGTGTGTGAGTGAGACCATAGAGCAGGGGTGCCCTACCAGTCGATCACGATCGCAAGAATGTTTGGCAAAAAAATAAATGGGCTATTTGACTATTTACTTTTTCCGATAGCCTAAAAAATGCATTCAGATCTGTGCATGTAATGTCATACATTTTAGTGCTCTTGTGTGTGTTTAACCCTTGTCGAATGGGTTGTAAAAGTTTCTTCCCTGAGAGCTGGCTGACACTGAAAAAGGCTACAGGAGCTCCGTAAATAAAGAGTGTTGTGTGAGCTACCCAAGAATGTTCTCTTGGTTATTGTCGCACAAACCCCACATTCGCTACAGTGCATAGTGCAGCGAAACAGAAAACAGACTAGGGGTGACAAAGTCTCCAGCAGTTTGAGAAGTTTGATTGCCTATTTGACAGTTGAGTTGTAGTGTTTGAGCGAAAATGATTAAGCAAAGAGACCGAAGATTTACCGTTACCACGAGGAACGGGAGCATGATTATTATTATTTTTTTGTACCATCGCATTCAAATCTGCAATGCTAGCGTCTACGCGAAAAAGGGAAATATAGAACAGTATTTCAAAACGGCACACAAAACGTATGATGTGGACTTTCTCGCTTATAGTGAGTTACGGAAAAAAAAGTGAAAAAATTACAATCTCAGCTAGCAGCAGTCAGTTTTTATGAGGCCCAATACAAGAGGGGAAGCGTCAATCAACGCATAGTTATACTGTAGCAAGTGTGAGCCACCTCCTGGCTAAACACAAAGTCATTTAGGGATCGAGAAGTAATACAACAAAAAAGTTTGCTGAGGAGATTTCAAAAGCAAACATTTTTGGCGAGGTTCAGACAGCTGTTGCCTGAAATCAAAGAGTTTCTCAAGTCATGTAAACATGGTGATTATGCCTAATTAGAGGATGACCAGTGGCTCCTGGATTTAGCATTCCTCACAGACTGGACTGAAATGCTGAAAGAGATGAATGTCGAGATGCAGGGACAAAATAAAAATGTCATCACGTTTAAAACAATTACAAGTGTCCTCAAGTAAGCTGCTCAGTGCCAATGCTCATATTAAGGTAGGATATTCTTTTTTCTTAAATGAGGAACATTATTTGTTCACTGTAGCATGAGTCGCTTGCTTTTATTTGCTGTCATTTTAGCGATGGGTATTGATATTGTACTGATGTGCCCACAGTCTGTTTTTCCTATACCAGAGCTTCAAATTCACAGTGGTAGGTCGCGCTGGACTGGCAAATGAAAAAGTAGATCTTACATTAAAAAAGGTTGGGTACCCCTGCCATAGACGAATACTGTTGGAGTTTTAAGTCAAGGTTAAAAATGTCGTTAGTAATTAGTGGTGATGTTCCGTTCGTGGAAAAGTGTAGTACGTTTACGTTTAAGTGAATAAGTTCTTTGCAATGCACAGTCATGTTTTGTTGTATTTTACGTTTGCTGTTTTTCCAGTAACGACAGGCTCTTTTGCCTTTGGCGAAATGAGACTAATCCTTGTATCTTCCAGATATGAACACAATGTTCAAAAACCAAACTAGTGATTTCTACGTTTTTCTGGTAATGGATTTTTATCTTAACTACCTTAAATTTGATTTATTATTTGCTTAGTATTACATATGAATTTCAAAAGCATAAATAGAAACCCATGTTTTAGGACACTTCTCTAGAAATTACTTAGTGTCAGTGAATTATCACAAATGGTCTTGATCTGCTCATTTTCACTGAAAGTGATTTTACTCGCCTGTCTCTTATGAGTGTCTGAATTCTGGTGAAACTCCTTAACTGCTTTCCTTGTTTTGGCAAGGAATGGAAAAGCAATTCTGTAATTTACCAGCAGAGGTGAAAATCTACACTATATATAAAAGAACACTCTTAATTGTGTTAGCAAACAGCAAATCATTTATAAATAAGAACAATCTTACTTTTTAAAATTAACTTGCAGTTCAGAATGAGCAAGTTAATTGATACACTTTTTTGTTTTTGTAAAGATATTATAGGTTTCAAAGAACTTTTAAATGGAATTTTCAACCCTTAAATAGCTTAATACATGTTCTGAGATGTAATGTACAGTATATGGTTAATGGACTCTATTTAAGAATAAGAACATGAGAAAAGCTGATTATGTGAGCAGGCCATTCAGTACATCAAGGTGTGCAGCAATGCTAGATCTTATAAAAGACTTTTCTTCCCTCCTGTGGTCAAATGTGGTTCTTGCAGCCTCCTGCTGGCTAAATATAATATATGCTGACATACTTCGCTTTCTCCAGGCACTTCCTGTTAAACCCATTAATGCTGTCTCACATTGTTTTTCCTTGTATTATCTCCGGCTACTGCACTTTGGAAAATGTCGTGATTACGTTTCTGTTTATTGCAGTGACAGGGGAAATGGATTCTGTGGCACAGAGTCAGTGATGAGGACACCCTTTAAATTCCAAAATGTGATGACCAGGGTCTTGTCCAGGACTTTGTCCTGGTGTGTGGGATGATGGAGATCCCTGGGGCTTCCATGCGAACTCTTGTATTGTCTCAGGATTCAAGACCTCAATATCTGTATCAGTACCTGCCACCCTGTAGCAGGGGAAGCCGTTCCCTGAAGATTTCCAGGAGACAGGTAATCTGATTCCTTTAACCAGTGTCCATCTTGCAGAGACCCTGGGCATACTCAGATGCTATGGATTATAATCAAAAAGCTCCCATGGGACATTTCATCCCCACACAGATAGCTCATTTATCATCAGTGGCAGAACTTGCTTTTTGCAGGCCCCTGTGCAAATATATTATGGGTCCCCCATCCCTCTCCCCCTCTCCTCCCCCCTCCCCTGACAAGGTACAATAGCAGCACCATAATAACATAAAGGAGCCGAGTCACTCATTTGACATTTATCCTGTGGGTCACATATGATGTATATAGAGAAAGGTCTATCGGATGGTCAGATAAACATCCCCAGACTCAAGCTCACGGCCAGTTAGGAGGATCGCTGCTGTGGTGAATTCCTCTCTGTGTTGTTCTGTGTTCTCAGAAGCATTACACAGTGTTTTTCGTCCTCGGTCTCTACTCTGTGGGTCGCTATCAAGCGGTGACCTGGAGATAACATTACATCGAGCTTGACCTCTTTATCTGTTGTGGCCCCGAAAGCCTCAAACCTCTCTGTTTTGGTTTTCCTTTTTGACAGCACCACTTTAATTTTTGCGGGATAGACCTGTATGGTCTATGGTGAGGGTGACCCACAGCTCATTTTAAAAAATGCCACTGACTTCCTGTGTTTTTTTCCATTTTGAAGCATATTTAAATACCTCAATCAATGTACTTCCCACAGACTTTTTTGTGGCCTCTCGTTAGCCAAGTAAGTTTTAATAAAAGTGTATACCGTACCCCAGATCTGCCTTAACTGGCGATAACACTACCACAATGCAGAATCGAGGATAGGTGAAAGGGCAGAGGGATCATTTGTGGTGCGAGAAGCTCACTAGCACCCCTTAGTGTGGACCCTAAATAAGGGCAATGCTCTTGAAAAACAGTAACAACAAAGACAAAAAAAAAACACATACTGTACATCTCATCTGACCACAAAAGCAGATGTTGCCTGACAGTTTTGGACCTGATTCAGTTTCATTCAGTTGTCGGGTGATCCTTTCTTACAAGACACATTATTTTTGTCCTGTTCTTTTAAATGTTCATGAACATGATCTTCAATGTGTGCCTTTGAGACTAAGAAGTTGTGTTGTTTTCCTGTTGTTAATTGCTGGAAAACGGACACCTGGTATATCCTTCCATCCCTTGATTGACTCACCCATTGTTTTAAAATGAATGATGAATTCTAAGGTTTTTTTTCATTGTTTCCTCACTTTGGAACAGACTTCAGAGATGATTTACAATTCATTCATTTTTTATTTGCTCATGAAAACATGAGCTCTGGCTTTTACAGCTGCTTTTACTATTAAAATGAATTTGCTGAATTAAAACCTTAAGAGAAGAGGTGGGAGGATATCAGACAATAGCTACAACTCAAAAGGAAGTAAAAAAATATAAATACATAAAAAAGTAAGACAAAAAGCCTTTAACTCCTTCTTGTGGGGTTAATTATAATGGCACTGACATTTAACCCCACCAAATATGAGCTTTTTGTAACAAGACTGCAGTTAAAGCATTTCATTGCACTTGTGCATATAACAATAAACTGAACTGAACTGCAAAACCTGGGAAAACTACACTTGTAAGTGGACTGTGGCACAAGGTCGGTTCATTAGGTCAGGTCATCATAAATATCCTCTTCGACTTGATTTTCAATAGAGAGGGGGCAGTAAAACCCTTCTTGCACATCCTGATATTGGTTTTTGATCGGATTCTCTCTTGCCTTCTGTCTCTCATACGGACTGTGGAAGCAAAAACATAATATTAAAACTATTAATACATCTTGATGGTTATTACACTACAACACTCCAGCATCCTGAGTTTTATTCGGGTTTGAGTTTGTTCTCCTTCTGTTCGCCTGGGATTGCTCTGGGTGTCCCGAAAGCTTTCCTTAAATGCAAGTTTCTACTTCAATTTCCTAGGCACCTGCAAGCTTGCAGTGACATCAGCTACAGACCGTACAGCCTCCAATCAGCTCTCCTCTGATGCATTGTGAAGCCGGCGGTCTCTAATGGTGAATAACCCTGATGGAAGGGTAAGGGAGAGAGAATTGCCAACAGCCGTTTCACCCTACGACTCATAACTGGCAGTCCACTGAAGCTCAGCAGGTGTGATCCTGGGCAGTACCTGGATGGGAGGCTTCTGGGAAAACTAAGGCTGCTGGAAGAGGTTTTAGAGGGACCAGCAGGGAGTGCACAACCTATGGTCTGTGTGGGTCCTTCCTAATGCCCCAGAATTGTGACGGGGACACTAGAGTGTAAAAAGGCGCCGTCCTTCGGAGGAGATGTAAAACCGAGGTCCTGACTCTCTGAGGTCATTAAAGATTCCAGGGTATTTCTGGAAAAGAGTAGGGGTCTAGCCCTGGTGGAGGAGGGGAGTCCCCATTACCTGTAAAGCGCTTTGAGTGGAGTGTCCAGAAAAGCGCTATAGAAGTGTAATAATTATTATTATTTTTAATATTATTAATTAAATTGGAGGAGCTCATCCACCCATTACAGTAATCCTTTGCTATATGACCAAATGCTATATGAGTTTTAGTTTATAAGAGATGTAGTAATTCCTACACGTTTTTCATTTAATTAACATACTTTAACTCTTTCAAGCTGGGCACGCGTAAAGCATTTACAAGATTTCTCTTTTCTCACATCTTCTCAGATGAAGAATTTATTTATTTTTATCATATTTGAACTTTTTTATAATAAAGGCGTGTGTGTTAAATGCATATAATACAGGATAGTACCTAATGTTTATACATTTTCTAATAACTGTAATGAAGTAACTACTGTACTGTACTGTAAATGAGCAGGAATGTTATTGTTTTCCCATCTACTGTATTGCTTATGCTTTGGCTAATGACTTTAAGCATGTTAATGGAATTATTAACCAGAATAGACTGATTTCCTCTTGCTCAACAGGAACTGTAAATGCAGGGCACCAAAGACTTTTTAAGTGGATAAAAGAGTTTTAAATTTTTTAATGAAATAAATAAATCTGTCTGTTTTTTTTATATGCATCCCATATGGAATTGCCAAATTCCTTTTTTTACAATCTCAGCAACCAGTAGTAACCACTCCTGTTTTGCACTGGGACAATAGTACAGTATACATTATATGAGTTTCATTCATTCCTCACAAGCTGCTCATAAAAATTCTCATTACATGTGATCTCTGATTGGTTCCAGAATAGAAATATCTTCCCTGAAACCCCCAAACTCCACCGTAATACAACAGCAGATAGTACCTAAGTATGACAACAAATTTTTTTTTGTAGAACTTACGTTCTGCTGTGATGATTGTCTGCTGCTGCTGAATCTTTCTTGGGCATTGAGACATCTGTTTGGAAAAACAGTTTTTTTTAAATACTTAAAAGTTACCAGTACAATTACAAACATTACCACAGTCACCCTACTGAGCTCCAGTGATATTATAGTTTTGCATATTCACAGTATGATACATACACTTACATTGATAGAAGACAGAAGTATTTTATGTTATTCCCAGTTAGAAAGGGAGTGATATTTATTAAATTACCAATCTGGTAGTAACATTAACCTTCTTTGCTCTGCATGAGTTAAGAATTTTGTTTTATTATTACTTTCTTTTTCCACAATTCTCTGACCTAAAAGGATTGCATTCAACACTTGGGTTAGAGCTGGAGAAAGTTACAGAGCAGCAAAGCAATAACGAACACGACTGGGTAGTAGATTTCCTTTCTACCACAGCCTTTTGGTCAGGAAGTCTTATACTGTAAATGTAGTCAGTTGACCTTTTTCAGGCAGCTGTGTGACGACAACAGTGCTCAGGGAAGCGAAAAAATCTGGGCCAAATAACATCATTCCCAATGACAAGGGCAGAAAGCACCAGAAGACACACAGACATCCACAAGAGGATGCATAGCCATCATTCACATATAATCTATATACCACCTTCTAGTGAGTATTGGTATCCATCCATCTACTATTTGTGCACCAACATTTTCACAATTCAGCCGTTTGAACTAGCCTTTTTGCTTTATGAGCCATGTTAATCAGCTCAGCTCCATCAATACAGTATTTCTAAATATCAAGTATCTCACTTCAGGTAGAACCACACATTTAACATTTAATCACTTGCTACCAGGTGTGTGAGACCATGTCAGTGTTCTCTTTATGTGTTGGAGCCCTTATAATGGAGTGTTTTAGACATCAGACAAAGCAGAGAACAGCAGCATGCACAATAAAAAAGCATTCCCACTTCTCAGCCTTCGTGTTTTAGAAGACTAAAGTTTTAGTTTTGGGAAGTTACCTTTCCTGGGTGGCATCTGGGAGGCCGTAGAGTCTGGGCTCCTTCTTTTCCATATCCAGACGCCTATAACAAAGGCGCCAGCCAGGATGAACAGGGAAAAACACAGGCCAGCTGTAGCAATAGCATATTCCTCTGCAATAGAGAAAGGTGCGTTTAGTTTGCCAGGAGGGTATGTAAAACCCCAAAGGGCCCTGATGTTCACCATGTTATAATGATGAGGTGTGCCCTTTTCCCCTAACTACCATAAATGATGCTATAAATTCAGCAGGTGTTACATTTCCTGTTCTTGTTTTCTAGAGCCCATTTAATTCAAGACTCAACACTCACAGACCACTGTTGTTCCAGGCAAGGTCTTGTCTACAGTTTCTAACTCAACTAATATTAACCTGGTGAGTGTTTCCTGGTGAGGAGGATTAAAGGAGAAACATAGCCTTCATGAAAGTGGACCATTGGAGCTAACAGTGTTTCCTCTTTGAGTTAAACCCGCTTGGCAGCTTCATGAAAATGCGAAACAAAAGCATGCAGAAAGTAAAGAGTTTTGTATGCCTATCATTCATGTCTGGTATGAGCAGGTTAAAAAAAGGTAAATATGCAAATTGAACAGAACTCCTCTTAGCCTACAGGCAATTTTGCTGGTGTTTCATGATTAATCACAGGATGCCCTGGTGCACTTCCCTCGTTGTAATGCATTGTCATTGTTTCTTAGCATAACTAAGAACACAGCATGAGGCTGCAGCATACAAGACTCTCTGCAAGGTAATGTGCCCCTGAGGAAATAAGTCAAGCTTTAAATTTCACTTCACACAGAGTAACAGAATCTAAAGAAGTGTATGTCAACTAGATTATTGTATAACGTTGGCTCTTTCATGCGTCTCCCCACACATGAGTCTTTCTCAGTGCTCAGTACTAATTCTGCTTACATTGGTATTTGCCATGAAGATTTCAGTGTAAATAATTTCTGAACCGGGTTCTCTAGGCTATCAGATTGCTGAATTTCTTTATTGGTGCATCCAACCTGACTCAGGTCCTATCTGACTATTTTGTAACTGGTAACCCAAACATTTTGTAACTCGTTTTGTAACTTTACTTTTTATTTTTTTAATCAAACATCCACCACGTTTTAGCCATTTTAAAACCCCTAACCCTAACCTTTTATAAACATTTAGCCTTGCTCTTTTTATTGACTTAATAAATCCCCTCTTTGCGACATTGTTTTGTATTTTTCAATTTATACCCGACCAATTTGAATTTGACCACTCACAACAACAAGTCCTTTCCTGCATGGAGAAAATGAGCAGCCCGCTGAATCATCAGAGCCATTGATAATATGTCTGGAATGTTAATAGGTTGCCATACTAGTAAAGTTTATAATGGAAGAATCCCACAGGCTATACACATTAACCTGCAGGAGTTAATGTAGCAGCTGAACACAGTGAAAACATGATGAAAAGGTAAGAAAGCAGAAAGAAAGCAAAGCAGCTTAACATAAAATGAATGATCATATATAAACGTACACGATTGTTATGGAAAGCTTCCATATATAAAGACATATAAATGCCAAAGGACTTGAAATCTTATTTAAATTTAAGGTGATCAAATATGTAATTTAAGGAGCTGGGCTTGCATAAATAATTCCTTAGAGTGAAAAATATGTAAATAGAATACATGAGAGAGAATAAATACAGTACATGCTAAATATGGCAGGGATAAAAAAAGAAGCTGTCCCTTTCAGCTGTAAAAAATCTGTCCTTACTAGCTCTGGGTACGATGTGCACTGTGACTGTCGTGCTCTCTAAGGTGATGTTTTTCCCACTGTATTCATTCTGGGCCTTGCAGGCATAGTCTCCGCTGTGTGTGGTGACCGTCAGCATCAGCTCCTGCTCATGGCCGACAATGGTTTTCTCTCCAGACACCTCCCCGATTCTGTACCAGGTCCATGAGATGGGCTCAGACCCATTTCTCACCTGGCATCGCAGGACAACAGCCTGTCCTTCAAAAACAAACAGCTGCTTGGGGAGAACCTGGATGGAGATATTGGTGATGGGACCTGCAAGGGACAAGAGACAAACAGACGGTGACACCGAGGCTCTCAATGGAACTAAAGTGATGATTTATCCTCCTTCTACAAAAGTTTTTTTTTTCTCTTAGCCACACATTAAGTACTAAATAAAGAGAGTGTTCTTGATACATTGAGCAAATCTCACATCTGGAAATGGGGAGGGTGTTAGTGGAGAAATGAATGAACAGTTCTCTCACTCTGTACTATGAGCTCTGTGGTTGTGCTTTCAGCTGTGGTGGCTCCATTAGCTTTGTTGGTGGCGACACATTTGTAGTTCCCCGCGCTGGGTACCTCAGCTGGGTGGAAAGACAGAGACTCCTGGGAGGACTGGAAGAGCTTATAGCTCTTTGTTTGCGGGTTGAGCTTGTACCAGCTGTAGGAGATGGGCCAGGAGCCATTCTCAGAGTGACAGGTCAGAGTGATGGGAGTACCGGCCTTGATGAGACGCATATCAGGATTCCTGGATATTACAGGTTTCGACACAGCAACTGCATTCAAAAGACAAGCTGTTAGACGGTGTGTGGAAGCACTGTTACCACAATGCACTGATTGTTTGATTTGTTTTAATTAAGGAATATTTTGATATTTTGATATAATGAGGGAGAACTCCTCATTTCTCCTTTTGCATTTTTGATTCAGATACTTTAAAACTTTAACACCCATCCACTTCTAAGTTAGTTGAACAAGCTCTGTATTGTTTACAGTATAACGTTAAACAATGAACTCAGTTGTGTTCCTTGTTGACTATAACAGAACATATGTTGGAAAACTCTGCAGTTACAATATACTTTTAGAACATAAAGTGTCAAAGATTCCTCAATCCACTATGTCATCTCTCTCTTTAATGCCACATTCACTCACAGAAATAAAGGAAGCTGCAGAATCTTACCATCTTTTACAGTCAGTTTCACCTGGCCGTAGTTGAGGGAACTATGGTAACAAGTGAAGAGCCCCTCATCTGTCTTTTGTAATTCAGAAAGTATCATGTTTTGGTCGTTGCTGTCTTTAAGGCGAGAGGTAAACCTGTTAAAGCTGGAAGAAGTGCCAGAAAAGCAGTGGATGTCTCTGTGTTCGTGATACCAGCAGTTGGCTTTCTCAAAGGTTGTCCCCCCTCCGTTGTTAATGGACAGGCAAGGCAACAGGACAGACCTTCCTCTGATGCCCTGTATACTAGGAACTGGCATCTGGGTGCCTACAAAATACAACACTTATTTATGTCTTTAGGTGTAGAGGTTGTAGCCATGTGGTGCCCTGTGGTTAACTAATTCTGTAGGTTTAAGATCATTCAGTTATCACCTGGGTCTCAAGCAGTGGGTTGAACAGCCTGAACCAGACAACAGTAGGAAGTCTTTCAACCCATCATGTTCATTAAGTAGTTAGCAGTCATTGATCCTAAACTTTCTACTAGCAGTTTCACAAAGGATCCCAGGGAGAAGGGATTCTCCGGTAACCAACTACTCTTTTTGAAAATATTTAAGTCCTACTTATCTGCACCAAATGTTATTCCTCATGATAACTTGTTTCCTCAGCTCCTATGCTGAGCATAGAGTGTTCCACTGGGTTCACTTTGTTATTCACCTTTCAGGCATTTATAATATCCATAACAAATCTGCCAAAATCTCCTCTTTCCAAGACTGAAGAGATTTTATGGCTCTGGATTGAAGGAAAGGAATTCTGTGACCTGTTCACACTTGTCATATTTATTCCACCCTTGCTGATTTTAATGAAAATGGGACACCAAAAAGACAACTTTATTGGGAGATGAAAGGATATAGTAGGTCAGTTATGGAACCTAGTCTGGCATCACCTGTGACATTTGATGAGGGAGACGTGAGCTGTCAATGGTGCACCTGATTTGCACTTAAATCAGATCCTTCAAAAATATGATATTAAATTTTGTATAAGAAACCAAGACACACAGAAGCACACAGAAGACCTAAGTAAAAGTCAAAATCTCTTGACTATTCTCACCGTTCTCGTACCAAATTAGAAAGAATAATATGCTCTTTGTTTGACTTTGTTAAGTCAGTTACGTTTCAGTTTACAATAACTGTGAAAACCAGTTCTGCAGCATTAACTAAGTCAAAGCAAAATTGGCCTTATTCTGAAAGCACTCCTGCTGGCATGGAGAACTGAAGATGCATCGAAGTCTTACCCTCAGTTACGGTGAGGTTCACCTGCCCCACATATCCCTCAGATGACACGTAAGCATACAGCCCAGAGTCTTCAATCTCGAGGTCTTTGAGAGCTAGGTTGCAGCTTCCATTAATGGAGAGTCGACTGCCAAATTTGCTCACCACTGGAGAGCTCCAACAGTACACAGGATTATTATTTAAATACCAACATCTGTTGGTCCCATACATGGAGTTCTTTTTCTGCTTGGCACATGGTAGGATGACTGGTTCTCCAATATTTCCCCCCACATTCAGATAGTTACTCATGACGGAGGACCTGCCTGACGAATTAACAAAAAACAAGATTGAGAACAGTTAGCCTCTTGTACAGAAAGTTCACAGAAATGACTGCCATTTTCTTAACTTTCTTAACTCTCAGCAGTTTCCATTTCCTTGCGGGGGAAAGTTTGATCAATTTTAAACACATTTTAATATTATTATCTATGACAGAAATATAGGCAATGGTAGAATAATGCTGTATAAAAAATATTTATTAAGAAGGCAAACAAACTAATCTTTGTGAATGAAAGAGCCACAGAAGCTCAATAAAAGCAGTGGGGAAAAAACAGGTGAATCTATCCTCTCATCTTATAAACTAATTAAATTCCCTTGTTTGTTTAAAAAAGCTTGACTTAGGAAGACTTGAATCAAGAGATGTATTTGTTGTGTAATATTTTTTTTTCTGGTGGTTTAGGGAGCTGACTTCGATTCAGAGGTTCAGTTTTTTTAAATTGATCACCCTTTCCTAGGACTGAGTGACTCTTTTGTCAGACAAAATTAAAAGACATGTTGTTGAAGTCATGTACAGTAAATACAAAGTCAAAGCTACTCATATTCATAAAATGTCTACATTAATCTAATACACATTAAGATAACTAGTTTCATCAGACTATAGAATAACAAAGTGAACACGTTGCAAATACTGTATATTACTGCCAACAGTATTTTAACATTTTTCCTGTTCTTCAGCACCTTATGAAAATAAGTGTTGTTATTATACTATACATACAAGTATTATTTGCTGTTATTAAAAAGAGTATTCTAACAATGCAACAAATATTATTTGCTGTTTTTCCACTTTTTCTCTAAAGGAGTTTACTCACTTTTAGTTTATGAATGAGACATCAGTGCTCTGCATTCTTTGGAAAGAGCTCATAGATAATATAATACTATTTTTTCATCATGAAGATTACAGAGAAAGATGAAAGTGACAACAGACATTACATCACTGACTAATACTCCAAGAATATTCTTTCAGGCAAGTTATGAAACTGATCAGAGCAGCACTCTGCATAAAGACATAAATAAATAAATACCTTCTGGAAGAATGAAGATGAAGAAAAGAATTTGGTGTATTCTTGTTTTCTGCATTCTTGATCATTGCAAGTTTGTTCTAGTCCTAAAACATCAGGATTGTTTTTTTTTTGTTTGCAAAAAAAAACACAAGACAAAGCAACTGACAAGTATTTTGAGAAGAAATGACCTTTTAGCAGAAGCAGAAACTATTATAGTACATCACTGGCTGGAAGGCAGTTCTACTCAGTTGGGCCACCACTCGCGTCTCCACTCCAAAGTGTGTATGTTAGCACTTTCTGCAGGAAACCGCCCTCCCATTCGCACATAAAAAAAGCTATTTGCAGGAAATTGCATCTGCAGATCACTGTGTAACAAGTGGCTTTTGTTATTCATGTTTTTATAGGTGGAGTGAGTTGGGGGTGCCTGTTTTACTTAACCTGGTCCTTTCTTTTTTTGAATCATGATACTCCAGTTATCTGCCTCTTTGCTGTACAGCATATTGCTAAATTAGACAGATAATGTACTTTCCCTTAGTCTAAGAACAGACCAGCCTTCTGACAATAAGGGTATTGCAGACAGGAGACCACACATGGGGTAAGCTATTTGTAGATTTTCATTGTTTTATTTCTGTAGGATTCATTTCTTTGTTTAGGACTACTAGTAATTGGTGTGTTTTCAGCTGTAATGGTTACTGATGGCCTGTGTAGTTCATGCAATTACTTTAATTACCTTAATGAAGTGGTGTGTCCAAGTGCTACATGCTGTAAGGGGTTAATCAATTATTTACTGGCGTTCTCATGCTGGAGTGTTGTCTTGACTCGTTAGATGATGTGCCAGCAATTGCAAGGGACTCTCCTGCTTTTGCGTTTGCACACCTGAAGGATCAATATTCTCCCATTTTTGCCGTCTGGATCTTTAGATTCTTACATCTGGATCTCCCCTGACAACTTCACCACCCAGGCAGTCCCCTCTTTTGCCTAGATCCTACACTGCTGCTCTCATATCTTTGGAGAGGATAGTGCCTGAACTGTAGCTACTTCTCATCTTGGTTGCTGTCTGTCTTGTCCTCTTTTTCCTCTCTTGTTGCCACCACCTTCGAACAGGGAAAAACAGAGTTTCAGAGTAAATTACTCTTGCTCATTTTCTCTATGAACAGATCATGGTCTTTCTTCCATCCCCTCTCCCTCTACCCAGCAATCTTTCCAGTGTTCACCTTTCCACATGCCTGTTCATCGGGGGGGCTCATTCCCACTCTCTCCTTCTCCCCACTGCTCCTCCCCTTCCACTCTCTCTGTCTCTCCTCCGGAATATTTCACTCTACCCCCTCCTTCCCTCTCTCAGTTTCACGTCTTATTCTTCTACCAGCTCCCTTCACTCCCCCTCCTCCTGCACCTTTGTTCTCTCTCAGATTCCACCTAAGGACACTTTTTTCTCTTACTCTTTCCCCTTAATATTAGCTCCCATTCATTTTCATAAAAAAGATGATTTTATCATAAATCCATGCATTTATAAAGCACCTTCAATTCCATAGAAGATCAATTTCAATAACCACTGAATTACACCCACCTGGGAGACACATGGCAGCTGGTATATACCAGCAGTCCCACTACAATGTAGATCAGGTCATTCTAATTAACATCCATTCCCTTAATTAACAGTGACTGCATGTTCTTGAAGCACACCATGAACCCGAAAGGTCATCCTTGTAAGATGCATATACAGTATATTGTACGTGTCTGTATGTGCTTCATAATGGAACGAATCATATGTTGTTACTGTATTTGTCTTTGCAGCTCATTTCCAGATCTTGCATCATTCAGAGCCATTTGTACTACTGAATGTGCTGGACAGATGGGACCAAAATATGCACAGAAAGAGAAAAGAGGATTATTTAAGGTTAAGCAACTAGACTAGATCAGGATTGCTGTGAGAAAGAGTATATTTTGATCTCTGCATTGGTCCACCCAAGTCCTTTTCTGCAGTTCAGACATCAAGTAACATAAACAGCGAACCCGATTAAAGCAAAGTTTAATCAAATTCTAGATGAACATAAAGCTTTCGATGAAGAAGTTTCTGAAATAACCACTTGCCTGTCGAACAATTATATATATTGCATTTTTCCATTACAATCTGTTTTTTATGCTTTTGAAGTAAACTGTGTTATATAAATGCGTGTTACTATAATGCTTTAGTTTAGCATAATAACTCTTCTGTAACTCTGTAAATAACACTAAATCAAATACCAAACAACCATATTATCCTTTAAATGACCTTTACTGTGATATTTGTCCTGAAAAATATGTTTACTGCATACCTACACATCTGTTACAGTGTACAGCCAGCTGGCAGGAATGAAGAGAGTTTTGAGGAAGCATGATTGTGCAAATTGGAGAAGTAAAGAAGGAAGTGTGATCACTTAATTTGTCCCAAGAGACAAAACTAAAAGAGCCAGCACTCCAAAACTTGCTGTTGTGTCATTCTGAATGAGTGATTTGTACATGGAAAATGTACCGTGTGAGTATTTTGCTTAACATGTTGATTTGCTTCTTTAAACATATTCAGCAAGAGATGAAACTAAAACAATAGAATAGCTTGGTATACAGGCCCTGATCGGAAGTACTGAAGAGACAGATCCTAAGCTAATAACTTTTGCATTCCTGTGTAAATTGTAGTGAAGATGCTTCAAATGCAGGAAAAGAAAAGGCCTCATCTGATATGGATATGAAATGATAAATTGCCACAGTCTACGAAATTATTATGTCTTTGAAAGGTGTCTTTGTGGTAATTTCAAACAAGTGCACCAGAGTAAGCTGTAATGCAGAGTTAAAAAACTACATTTCAATTAATACAACAGGTGCTGTGTAGATTGTGAGTTTAGTAGTGTTTTCTGGTCTTCTTCACATAAAGGTGTCATAACTGTTTTCCTCCCATGTTCTGTCGGATGTCAGGTCATGATAGAAGTTCTCCAGATGCTTTGTAGTTCATGTAGATCACGTCATTGGGTGTGTCCAGCTGTTTTTTACTGAAGGAGAGGCGAAGACTCAGTTGGACCTTCAGGGGTGGAATGTTCAATGCAGAGCTTTGATTCAACCAACATTTTATTGCTATATTGATCCAGATAATCCTTGATTTGAGAATTGAGGAGGTGTCCAGAGCATTTGAGTGGATTGGAAGGAAAATAATTTAGGCTTGCCCTGCTTTAGAAGCACACTGAAGAATGTGACAATATAAAAAAACCTGACTTACAAAAACACATCTATATACTGTATATATATTTTTTCCTGCAGATAAAATGTAGTACAGGTGGGGTATTTTAAAATCAAAGAGAGCATTGAACAGATCTTCAAATTCCATTAGATCAGATAGGTTCCTTTGAAAGCATTTCTTACCAATAGTTCATGTGGGCAGCTGTGTCAGCATGTGTAGGTTGCAAAGGAACAAGTAATAGGTTCATTCCATGCTGAAAAGAGAAGAAAGAAGGAAAACACAATGTTGTGGCCGTGGAGCCTTCTTCAGGTGTGTGGACACAACGCTCCAAGGCCACAACATTGTGTTTTCCTTCTTTCTTCTCTTTTCAGTATGGAATAAACCTACTACTTGTTTCTTACCAATAGTCTATCAACTACAATATAAAAAAGAAAGAAGGTAGAAATATTAAGTAAATACTTACAAAGTAAATACTTACCACTTTGGAGCTTTTGCTGGCTCAGGAAAAGGCATCTTGATACCTGAATACATTTAAAAAGATATGCATGAAGAATGAATAAAATCAGTAACACACTGCACCTGCATCTAATAGAATCTGAAGAGAATTTAGATATAGTTTAATTTAGATATAATTTAAAATAGTTTAACAGCAAAAGGAAATGGAAGATGAAAGCTGTGTATTATAATAAAAAACCACAACTAACATAGCAACATCTCAACATTACTTAAATAGCTGAAGAGCCAGTATGTATTCCCCAGTAGAGATGGTTGTTTCTCAACAGTGGAATCAAAACTTGCAATTCAATAGCTTACAATGGCTGTGACAGGCTTTTTGACAGTTCCTCATCAGTGTTATTAATCTTCATTAGCTGTGGCCCATGCTATCATAGGCAAGAGAGAATTTGGCTTTGTAGCCACAAAGTTTATTAGCATTGCAAAAAGAAAGGAAGATGATTATATTCCAAGCTCTTAGAACATTTAAATATTTACAGTTAAAAACTGCTTTAGGGCTCAATGTCTTCCTCAGATAGCTGCAGAGAAATCTTGGAAGGTGTATATTAGGCTTGTCATATGTCTGTTATGTTATAGTGTCTTCAGTTTTGGAGCCTCCAGTCTCTGGATGAATACATGACAAGGATTTGTGGCATGCCCTAACAGTTCTGTGCCTGTGCCACTATTGAGGAGAAGCGTAGGCAACAGGTCGGTCTATCCCAGCGGTCTGTGTGAGTTTTGTATACTTCGTTGTCCAAACTATTTAATTTATTTTCAATTTTAAGATGTTCAAGGCACAGTGTACAGTTTAGATTAAATACAGTTGTTCCATGGTCACTTAGTACACCAGCAAAAAAATCTATTACTCCAGCCCACCCTCTACTGTTATGGGTAGTGTTGTTTTTCAACAAGGTCTGGAGTATGATAACCCTAGTGCAATTCAAACTTGATGTGATCCTGTATCAACTATTAAGTATATGTTGCTTAATTTCTGGCTATCTTCACTGCTTCAAGGATGCTTCACTCATTCTACTAATTAATCTACTCTACTCTCTACTCTCTACTCATTCTTGACTTGGGAAAATGTAGCAACTCAGTTGTTCTCCGTGTCTTTAATGTTAAATGTTAATCCCTTATGTTTACCCAACTAAGAAGAATTCCACAAAAAGCAATGCTAACAGTTGATTACAATAACCCCAACAATTCAACAATGGCATATCAAGAGTTAATCCTATTTTTGGATTACTGCAAGCAGAAAGCCTCCTATTTATACTCTTCTTCTGTTGCAAGAGTAGAAAAATTGCCACTGCTTCAAGAAATAATAACCACTTTCCCCCAATGTATCAAGAAGATGTTGAAGAAGGAAACTGGGACTGATACAACTTCCTCTAACAGTGAAGTGCAGAGGATTAATAATGCTTATGAAATGAACATTACCATATACAGGAATTTGACAAAAGTCCAGATTACTACTGTATAAATGGCTTTGCACTTACAGTCTTAGACGCAATGGAGCCAATAAGCACCAATGTTATCCACCAGCCTATTAGTTTGAGTTGTTTGCTAAAATTGATTTATCTGACACTTACACTCCTTTCAGTTTTATTGATCAGTAGTTTCTCCCTGTGTTTGTTCAAATTTCAAGTGAATTCATTTAAGACACATCTGTCAATGCTTATTTATACAAATGCATTTATTTAAATGATGGCAAAACCACACATTTTGCTTTAGTTTTTTTGCCTGGGCTATGAAACATGTCCTCTTCTTTTTAAGATGAGCTATCTCAGTGTACAGCATTTGACAAAACATTAACTTAAGTGTTTTTAAGATATGCATCCTTAACTGAAACTAGTAGGATATGGAAGCATAACATGATACGTTTCATATTATGACTGACTTAAAAATCTTAATATTATATATTTTTGAATGGCGATGAGTACAGGGAGACTTGATTTAAGCATTCAAATTCCTAAAAGGCATTGTCAAATTGAACTCAGTGGACTTCTGCAGAAGTAACTTAATTTTTAAGGGCATTTAAAACTGTAAACAGGAGGCACTTTTTAACACAAAGGACAGTGCACCTCTTAAACAAGCCATGTTGTTAAAGTCAATACCCTTTTTCCAGAATTGGTTTGGGGAGATCAATGAGGTAGATGTGCTGAATGGAGTAGTCTTATGTGTAACCTTTCTTAAGTTCTTACAATTCGAAAGAAAGGATTCATTCAAAGGTAGCCTCTTTGAGTAAAATTAATGAGATGAACATGAAGAATGAAAATTTGAGTGGAATAAATACAAATAAGTAACTGATTTGAAACCTGAACAATTTTCAAACCTGTGAGTTTTCAGTGCGGTCAATTCGAACTTCATCCCTACTCCAATTGACACCTACTCTCCTATAAAGTGCGGTGAGTCCAGAACATACACGTTGGTGAAATGTGTGACATGTTCCACCCATGCTGGAACCAGGATTACAAGAGTGAGGTTATCTGAAGGGTTTTATGTCATCATCCATAAAAGAACTTTAGAAATCTTCTAGTTAAGGCTAAGAAAATATTAAGGTTAAATCTTAAATTGATTACCAAGTTTGGAGTAAAAATCTGCCACTTTACCCTCCAGAAACTGAGTTTAACACACCAGGTATAAAGAGGAATAATTGGTAATTTAACAGAAGGATAAAAAAGTCAAGTAGGGCATGGAAATAGCAACCACGTTCACCTTTTTGTTTCACATTGCTGGCTGGTGTGTTCACTGTTGCTTGCCTCTGCTGTCTCCACAGCCAGAAAACCACCGGTACAAAGAACAGCAAGGACAGCAGCACCAGAATGACTGCTGCTAAAGCCAGTATCATCTCCGCTGTTGGAAGAACCAGGGAATTCAAGAGAACTCCGTGAGTGTAGGTCAGGCCCTAGGCAAACATGTGGAATGCTATGAACAGTACAGACCTGGCTCTTTGGAATTCTTTCCAAAACTAAATAAAGGGAAATTGTGGCCCTGAGAGAACAGTATCCTGGTGTCCTGACTAAATTCTCAACTCTGGGCTTGTGCAATGAGCTTCCCTAAAGCTCCTATATTTGTTCCTTTGCACTGTAAGAGGACAAGGCTAAAAGCCCACCCAGACTTATTTCTTACACCAACTGCTTTGACACTTAAAAGATTAAATTTAAAGTTCAGAACTTAAACACAGAAGGTATTGTTTACAGTACCTGGTTTAGGGATGATGTGTATTGTTTTATTGCCACTGTATTCGTCTTGAATGATTGTCAGCACTGTACTGTTTGCACGGCAGTAGTACACACCACTCTCCTCCACTCTGTAGAGGCTCAGTTCCTTCCCAAGGCCCACCATGCTAGACCCTTCCTCAGTACTTTTGTACCAGCTCCAGGTGATGATGGGCGGCCATGTGGTGGCCTGGCATGTCAGAGTGATGGTGTAGCCTTCAAACACAAAGAGGTCGCTGGGGTGGGCCACCACAGAGAGGAAAGAGATCTTTTCTAAGACTGAGAGAGAAAAAGGGAAAGTACAGTCTGTGTGTGAAAAAGTGGTGTCACCAAGGCAGAAGGAAGTTAGGGTTTAAAAGACAGAAGCGCCATTCTGTAACCACTCTATATGTAACCAGTCTATATTCAAACAGTCTATATTCTCCACATGACATTCAATGAAGAAAAAGTAACAAGTATTGAAGTATTTGCACTGTAAGAGGACAAGGCTAAAAGCCCATCCAGACTTATTTCTTACACCAACTGCTTTGACACTTAAAAGATTAAATTTAAAGTTCAGAACTTAAACACAGAAGGTATTGTTTACAGTACCTGGTTTAGGGATGATGTGTATTGTTTTATTGCCACTGTATTCGTCTTGAATGATTGTCAGCACAATAAGTATTGAATACTCTCTTTGTGTGTGTCGCAATCTTTTAAGTCATTGTAACATTAGTTGCATCTTTATTGCTTGATATTCACTTTATTACATGATGTTGATTCTACAGTTAAGCCATCTTGGATAAAGTTGTTAACTGTATAAATCTATAATAAGCACTGTGCAGTAATTCATAAAGTACTTTCACAGGGGTGCATAAACAGTCAGTGTGGCAACTGTTGATGGCACAGCTGGAAAAGGGATATAAACATTCCTAAAGGAAGCCACAGTACAAAACAATGTACAGTATGCAAAATAACGGAGAAAAGAATTTCCTTAGGTTATTTTTAATCAGGCACCTACTGTGCATAACTGAAACATGAAATAGCTGTTTTGCTATAGGTCTCTGAAAAATATTTTTTCAACTGACTTCATAATTTATTTTTCAGCAGTTGAGTCCAACTCTAATAAGTGCCATATAGGGACAAAATGTATTAGAGATTATTTGGTGTAACGTGGGTAGCTGAGGCAATGGCAGCCTGACTGCTCTCTCCCTCACTTTCATAGGGAATGAGCCAGGGAGCTGCTACAAGAGTGTAGATGGGGTGGTGGGAGGGGTGCAAAAGAGATGCGCAAGAGGACGTTCATGAAATGATATACTGTATATATAGCAGAGAACATAAGGTAACAAACACGAGGAGGCTATATGTTCTATATTAGTAGGTAATTGGTCATAGGATCTCATTGGATTCAGCAACATGGCTGGATAGATTGTTCCAGATTTACATCATGCTAAAAGTGACTGAGTGTAGAAATGGGCTCCTGGGCCTGTATAAAACATTTGTTAGGGTTCAAAATATCCCAGTTCCTTTTAATCACCTGCTCTCACATGGGGTATACTATAAATATGACACTTTGCTCAAGTTACTCCTCACCAACCCTACCACCATCACCAAAAACAGAAGCTCTTGGGCTCATTTTATGGGTGAGGTTCTGACAGCTTTATCCTTATGGCTAAGCTGTTTAATCATGATTATTGCATCTTTGGGGACAATAAAGCATACCTAAAAATAGGAACTTAAACAATTTGCTATTTCAAATTCTGTTGCTAAAAGAGGAAGGATAGGCTTGGTGAGAAACTGATACACAAATTGCTGAGACTGCCTTTTCAGAATATTTCCTTGCAAATCAATTAAGAAAAACATGCACAGCAAAGAGCAAAGAAGCACTGACCTTTTGTCTTTCACCACAACAATATGATTACTGTTCAGCAGATGTCTCGTTATCAATATTGATCCCTTCATATACCGTACCCTGTCCACGTACAGTTCGTTTTTTATTTTTCCCACAGGTTCTTAATCCATTAAAAGTAGGACTAGGCCACAGCCTTCATATTATTTAATTCATTATTGTATTACACCAGAGAATAAGCTGAAGTGACCCAGTTGAGAATACTGCAGTTTGTGATTGTTTGGTTATTCCACAGCAGTGTACAGTATATCTTTTAACCAGACCTTACTACAATTTGTTCTTCTTTCTAATAGAAGTTAATTCCACTGTCTGTATATGAAGCTGTGTAGTTGAAAGAGGCTTTTTAAGCATACTTGGTATTTGAGAGATCTGATCTGTTATTATTTTTGACCATTTTTATGTGGTATTGTGATTTAATTTTTTCTAGCACAGCACTTGAAGCATTGAACTTCCAGCCTGTAGTGGGATTTACCATTGTCTTAATTTCTGGTAGTTACATGGTCATTCCTTTCCTAATGGGAACTTCATCCTTGCATCCATTTCCTAACTGGTTTATCCAATACAGGGTAATGGCGGTGACTTTTCCAACAAGCAAGGGGCACAAGACAAGATACACCCTGGACAGGATGACAGTTTATCACATGGCACACGCAGACGCAAACACAAACACACACTGGCCATGGCCAATTTTTCCGGAATCCAATTAACTTCAGCGTGTCTTTGGACCATGGAAGAAAACCAGAGCACCTGTAGGTATCCCACGCAAACACACAGAGATTATACAAACTCCACACAGAGAGCACCCCAGGAACTGAACCCAGGACTCTGAAGCTGCGAAACAGCAATACAAACCACTGTGCCACCCTGGAGATACAGTTTGTCTTCCTAGATAAAGGTGTGTGTTAAGACAATCGTTACAAAAAATGAAGGGAGGGCAAATTAAAAAGCTTAATAAACATTGGTGAAGTGCCATGAATGCATTTTTAGCATACATTAAAGGTGTACCAGACAAGAATGTGCATCACTTCAGTGAGTAAATTCAGTAAAAGCAAATCTTTGAAAAAATATTCACTTCACAACAAAAATATTTCTAGAGGAAGAAAAGCCAATGTATTGTTCTGGAAGAAAAGCTCTTAATGGCTATTATTAATACAGGTATTGTGGCATGTTATTAATTTGACACTTGAGAGTCTCGTTAACAGCTATTGTTATTGTCGACATCTAAGACTGATACTAAAAATGCCGAGGAAACATTAAGTACAGTACATACCCTGGAGATCTACGTTAGTGGTCAAGTTGGATTGATTTCCATTGGGATTGAAGGCTATGCATTTGTAGTCTCCAGAATCTTCTAGCTTGGCAGAGTTCATAACTAGGGTTGCTCCCAAACTGACTGTTTTGTATGTGTCTGAAGATCGCGCCAAGTGGTACCAAACGAAGTTTAGGCTAGACTGAAGCTGACAGCTCATCTCGACGTTTTTACCAACCAACACAACCAGCTTTTCAGGGTTGAATCTCAGTTCGCGAGAGGATGGAAGGGATTCAGGGGGGAAACTAGCACCTGCTGAAAGACAGAATGGTGTTAACAAGGATCTGCTGACACAAACAGAACCCAAAGAGGTTGAAGCGTTTTCCTTGGGTTTTTCTAAAACTAAGTGGGGGAAACTGCAGGATAAGAGAAAGGAAAATATGCAGTATTACATTTTGTCATATAGCAAAACAATTAGCCATTAATTCACCATAGAATGTGAACATTAAACACAATCTGTACTGTTTGCATTTTTTTGTGCTGTAGGATCTTTTCTGTACAATTTACATAGTTTGTTGATTGTTAATACAGAGGCTCTGCTTCTGGTAGTACTGATACTGATAAGTGTCAATTGTGGGAAAATTGGCTAATTGCATGTTCACAGCTGTGGAGAATCAAGTGAGCTGTCTTTTGTTTCAAATAAAAATAGACCCTGAAGCAGTGTTGGATCACACACAGTGCTTTTCTTAATCCATATAAACACCCTATATAACTTCCACCTTGAAAATATCCAATAACACTGTGATATTCAGTTTGTTCAGTGGGTGGAGCATTCTAGAAGATTCCCAACAGCCAAACAACATCAATGGAAATTGCAACAAAATCCAGTTCCTCCTTCAAAATTGAGATTGAGGTACAGCACATGAGTTTTTTACATTATAGCAGCAAAAGAACAGTTAAAAGGTTACATCAAATGTTTCAGATGTACTGTGATAATAATGGTAAGGTTTTAAATAACAAAGAAAAAGTCTGATATACTGTAGTGTTTATCAAGGAAGGACCATGCAACAAGTCTCAGGCCATAAAAAGTGGTCAAACCAAACCATGTAATTATAGTCCATAATTATTTTAATTACAAGAAAGTCTTAACTATCATTTCCATAACGTGGAGAATCATGTCTATCGTATTAGGATCTATGAAATTAATTCAATGTAAAAAGCATGTTTAGCTTGAAAGTGTTAGAGTAAGCAAGCAGCACGGATACAAATAAGATGGGGATACTGCATGTAGATATTCTTATGGCTTTTGATAAATGTCCTTACATGTCGCCAGATTGAGAACTTGTTAAAGGATCTAAAACAGAACAGGTAAGGGGTAAGAAGAAAAATCTGTTTCTCTCAGTAAAAGGCTAGATGAGGTCCTTTCAACATTTAGATATTAATATCCAATCTGGCTAGGAGGGACAAAGGATATTCTCTCATTTACGACATTTCTTATGTTATTAACAGCTGAAGACAATCCTCAGATCAATACATTCCTAGCTACCAAACAGACAAAATGCTGCTGCTACTGTAATAGGATTTATGCTCCGGTCACAACTTTCTTCCCTCCTCTCTTTTCTTGGAGAGGGTTTGAAATCTGAAGAGCAATTAGATATACCAAATAGCCCAAATATAAAACAAGCAGAACAAAGTCTTTGGCCGTGTATGTAACTTCTATTCTTGCAGCTGTTGTAAACATGATTATTTGCTTAATTATTGGCCTTGAGGACTAGACTTCTAAAAATAGAGTAGAGAATATCCCTTAAATTGAAAGTTGAGTTGAGCTGAAAACCTTACCTGCCTTTGCAGAGAGCCAGAAAGCAATCAGCTGTGTAGCTATGGGCAGCATTGTCCAGTTTAAAGTTACGGGTACTGACTTCACCTAGGAAGTCAATTCTTTTCATATTGCTAGTTTCTGGGGGAAGTGCAAAATAGGAACATGCAGGTAAATTACAAGAACCTTTAGTTTCCAATAGGAACTTTTAACCTGGTCAGAGGTTAACCAGAGGCAGTCACGCGTTAAATCATTTGTATGTTATTCCTTAGAGAACTAATAGAGGTTTCATCAGAATGTGGGGCTCAGACTCTAGAAAAAATGAGAAACATCATTAAAGATTAGGCCATATTAATAAGTTAAGATAAAGGCTACAGTTTCTTGTTCTGCACAGGTCCAGGTGCTATCAAATATCACACAGCTCATAAAATAAATATGTATTCAATACGAGTAATAATATTTCAGTTTCTGAAGTGTCAGTTTCATATGAACCCAGGTATGTAAGAAGGCTCAAGATGAGACGTATGGGCACTGAGCATATCACAAATGATTTAGCCTTCCCATAACTTTCAGTCGGATTTCAACATGAGCTTCTGATCAACACTTTTTAAACTATCACCATTTTGCCAGTGTTAATTATTCTCTATGCCCCTGTCAGCTTCTTTTGATTTTTCTTCATGCACAAAATGTGACATCTCCAGGCGAAAAGATAACCATGATGCAATAACTTCCAGCATCGTGATTAATTATACACTGGAAATCAACTCTCTATGGCAAAGGATATTAGGAGTGAACGACTCTAAAGTACATGCTATGCTCCCCTGATAACTATTTTGGCGTGCAACCACACTCTTTTCCCACTCCCCATTTCTCTCCTCATTATGTTGGGTGGATCAAGAGATGTAGCACCATGCTCCTGTTGGCAACTAAATGCAGGACTTGGTGTTCCATCCGTCATCTGATCATGAGGTGTCAACATGTCCTCCCAGTCTCTATAGTGCTCACTGCTCACTCTTCGTCGGGGACGTGCAAAAGGAGGGGATACAGAGTGAATACTTGCCAGCTGTGTATTCTGCATACCATCCGTCCATCAGAAACGTGACCTAGCGAGGACCTTGCTGCTTGATGCTTGGGCTTTCAAGCGGAGGCACAGGAGCTGAACAGTTTCACCGGGCAGAGAACATCTATCTGAAAGACATGAAGCTGCAAACCTGCTGGTTGGAGGGGTGCCAAGCTGGCAGGACGTATTCTATAGCCTCTCGCTTTTAATCAAGTCATAAACGGGTAATTACTTTTGTCTTAAACTACATCGTCCTATAAATTTTAAAATATGTTTATCCGATGGTAGCTTCTGAGCCAGGCCACCCCCAGCACCCATTCTGCTCAGTGCTTGCGACATCTGGGATGTCCTCCCACCACCCCCCTCCTGTCCCCCCACTAACATGCACACGCACACAAACTCAGGTTACACCCCATTTATTTGCATATTATATCACTTTTGTCTGTGCATGTTCATGCATTCTGAAGGGCAGTTTTCCATAATTTACCAATGGATATCAGAGTCTCTCTGTAAACAATCCTGTACAAAGTCTTGCCAATTACCATTTTTTTTTCACTTTCTCCCTCTGACAGCTTCTTCGCTGTTCAGATTCAAAGTGATGCACAATAATCCCAGTTCTGTTTCAATTATACAATATTCATACATTCATTCCAAACTGAGCATCTCAGAGCTGTCCACTGGCAATCTGGGATGTTATATGGAGACTTAACAATATTTTGATTTACTGTTTGGCACTGGGGGTATTTGCTGGATTGTTGAGGTCAAGATCAATGAGGTACTGTCCTGGTTCATAGCTAGAGCTTAACAAATTCTAATGAGAATTCAGTTGCTTTTATGTCTTCCTCTTATCTCATTCGAAGAGATCTTATCTCAGGGTCACAGCTATGGAGTAGCTAGCAAGTGCTGGTGAGAGTATCTAGGGGAAACTTAATTTTCGACAGCTTCTAAAGCACGATGACGCTATTTGGCAAAACGACCAGCACTTAGAATTAGCTGCATGTAAGGGTAAGCAGGATGGCAGGGAAACTTGAAGGCAGGTGACCCTGTCCTTGTGTCATTGTTGACAACACAAAGAGCTCTTTAGCTGACAGTTTAATGAAAACCTTATGGGGTCAAAGTCACCCAGACTTATCAGAGTTTTAGAGATGGCAAACCCATGGCACTATTCCTATGTTTTTGAAAAAAAAAACCCCACAAAACTATTAAAACTCCCACTGCAACTGGGAGAGCTGCTGTATGTCTTTACTGATCACTGTAGTCTTGCCAGTTTGACTTTTAATGTCCTCCAAACTCTGAAATGAAAGCCGAGAAGAAGGTGTCAGCCTCTTTCCTGATTAGGAACCTTGTCAGTTGCAGATGATAGCTGTGAGCATTAAGTGCACTCTGTTTGCTTATTCATTGAAAAATTAATGGCAGATTAATCTGTGCCTGTGCTGTGCAATGCTAATTAAAAAAGGACAGTGGGTGGTTGTTTCTAACCCATTTGTAAGGAGATTTTAGGTATTAGTAACCAGTCTTCACGTTCTTAACCCTTTCGTACATACAGTATCTATTTGAAAATAGCCCTGTCATTTCCTAAAAGTTTTATTTATTTTTTATTTTATATCCCTAACAAAGCAGTGGAAATGAATGACATAAGCAGTTATTTTGTTATAGTGGGGAGGCATAAATTCATTTAATATCAATGAAATTTCAAAACTTAACACCAGCAGTTAAGAGAGCTAGTGTCATACTCCTGTATACAAATCCCAGAGTGTATCTGTGGGCATGACGATTATTATCAAAGGTCACGCGTACATACTGTACAAGGGCCTTTTCATATATAATTTCATAGTACATACATTTATTGATTGTGATTTTGAGGTTTTTGTGCAAATATTTACATCACAGTTCTTTCTTATGTTTCCCTGTATCTAGCATAGCAACAATTTGAAGACGTCGAGCGGGATGCTCTGCTCTAGAAATGATGAATACCGTGATGTATGCAGTAGGATGGTGTCGGTTTCAGAAATGAAGGCCTATGGGTAATTATTTTTGATTGCTCTGCTGTTTTCTCTTTTGATAGAAGAAGTACCTGGCAATTACCATTTGGTCGCCATGGTTACCGGTGTTAATTCCCAGTTGTTCTGGTGCTGAAGTGACATTCCTGCTAATGTGCTGGTGACCCATTGTGTCATCCTGCTTTTTGTTTTAGTATCTCATACCTCACCCACTCAGTCTCCTCGCTCGAGCAAGGACAAAGCATTTGAGAGCAAGGGTGGGTTTTCCGAACAGTCTGTGACTCGTGCTTTAGGAAAGACTATAGCTTAATTCTGTAGCAATGCTGGTGTCATAATAAGTTCAAGACAGGTGAAATACTCAGGTGCTGGCTGTTCATACCTGTTCAACATTGCAGCAGCTTGTGTAGGGTAGGTGGGTAAATTCAGTATTGGAGCCACAACGATTCATCAGGCTAGAGTTTTTTCCGGTTTATGGTAATGTTAAGTGAATAGAACCACATGACCCCCTTCCACTGCCTTCATACAGGTGGTTGGACTGGAACAACTGGGGTGTTGTACCTCACTTCAGTCACAGCAGTGAGTTTTGTAGGCTACCTTAGGCCCCCAACAGCGCAAGGCTTCCGGAAGTGGATTAAATTTGCTTAACTGTCCTGTACAGATCTAAAGCTGCCGATGATTTAAGGAGGCCTAAAATTTGTACTGTTGGAGTATTGGGCTCGAGAAGCTGGGAGCCCAGTTTGAGTGTTTAATCCTGAAACTCCTGTATGTCCGTGCAACTGTGGTGTTAAGTCAAGCTTGATAAATTTTACTCTGTTCAATCTGTTGATGCTGCTTATTTTCCTTTCACAAGATCTTATGCCATTAGTTTGCAATTGCTCATGCATGTTACTTTCAGCAGCAGAGATCATAGGAGGCCATCAAACCTTCACAGCTGTCACTTTAATCTTGCAAGGTTTTCTTCAGACCTTCTGCAGCAGAAGGGATCTGCAGTTCCACCAGGGCCCTGGTGTTGACACAGGCTAGTGGTGATATGTTGCAGCAGATTATTCATTCCAGTTTAAGTCCTGTTAAGTACAGTAGGTGTTTATGTGCTGCATGCTTGGCAGTTGTTCACCCAAAGCAAACTGGTGAGAAACAAAGGCCTAAAATGTATTTTCTTTTCAAGAAATATTGGAAACCTCTTTTACTTGAATTGCATTTGTACTTTTATCGTCTCCCATAAAGGCACTGTAAATGTTTAAAAAGCTCTGTGGAGTATTTGTTTCCTTTACATTGATCATTTAAACTAAAATTTAGATTTCATATGTCATTGTGAATGCCAAGTTACCAAAAGAAACTTGAGTTCTAGGTAACTAATGGATCCAGCTCTTGCAAGGCTAAAATACAGAAGTGTCTTCTGTCCCTCAATTGAAGGCGATTTTCTCAACACTCCTCACCTCCTAAACACACAACACGCACTTTTCTCCACCTTGCGTCTGCTTGATTATTGACTTTCTGTCTATTTTAATAATGTCTCCATCCAATGCACTCAATTATTTAGCTCTAATCAACCCCAAGGAAAGGGATATCGGACAAAAAAAAATCTCCTTACAAACAGCCACACCAAGAGAATGGAAAATCAACCCGTTTCCTTTACTCTACACCTTGGAGGAAAGAGAAGAGAAGAAAGCTTTAACCTTTTAAATCAGCTGTCACTTGCAGTATTGCTTTACTTTAATTACCTCTCGGATATCTGAGTGCTCTCTCATCCTGCCGGTGCAGGTCAGGGGAGCTGCGTGCAACAACATGTAAAATTTAGGTCACTTCTCAAAGCTTTGTTGCTTTTGGATAGGAGAAATGTAAAAGAAACTGCTTGGCTCCGATTAATGGTGCCTTGTGGAATTTGGGCCCTGCACACAGTAGGAAGTAACTGTGACACTCTGAGTATCAGGCAGGGCAACGTTGGGATTAAGTCTCTCTCTTGAGATATGTGCCTCTGGCAGTGAGGCAGAAGCACAAAGGAAGCTCCAGAGCTTTACTAACTTCTCTGGGACTGGATGCCCTTTCTGTTAATGGAGTACTTCTGCCCTGATTTTTTATTTTTTATTTTCCAAAATCAGTTCTTGTGAAGCACCATAGCTCTTGCTCAACCAGAAAATAAAACCTGGAATCCTCTTTTCTTATATTAAATGTGAAATGCAGCAATCTAGCAATATGTTATTGTGCTGATTGAGATTACCTTAATGG